AAAAAATATTTTTAATTGGAATAGAGTTTATCTTTTAAGATTCAAAAATTAAAATGAAATTCCTCTGAAATACAAAACTCTACCGGCCACATGAAATGTTTCTAAATAAAACTGCCATTTAAAGTTTCCAAGATTATTAATTCTAAAATTCAATTTAAATTCTAGGATCATCACAACTCTATACCATACTACAAAATTTTAGTTTGTGCAGTACCAATATATTTACAAAGTTCAACCTTCTGATTTTCCTTACGCATATTGGGCCCCAGGATTTCCATGGAAATACACTCAGTGGGCAGTGAACAATCATGACCTGTCAAGCCTACCAGCTAAGCCAGCACCAATGTCACCTTCTTCCATGGAGTCTTCCATGGTTACCTGCAGATAAAAGTGACCTATCTCTCCTTCTTCTTCTTCTCGGTTCCACTCACTTAAGGAGGTTGTCATAGTCTATCATTTATTTCATAAATGAACAAATATATGCGTTTATGGTTTCCTCCTGGATAGTAAATTCCTTGAGGACAGGGTGGGCATGGATGTGGGGAGGTCAACTCTTGAGCTCTAGGTTGATCATGTGTTATTCACTTAATCCTTATCATAACCTTATGAAGTAGAATTATTTTCTCTTATAAAATACACACACTGTAAAACTTGCCATTTTTAACCACTTGTAAGTGTACAATCCAATTGAATTAATCATACTCATTTTGTTGTACAATCATTACCACTATTTGTATCCCAAACTGTTCAATCTCTGCAAGAACAAACTCTGTACTCATCAAGCAGTAACTTCCCATTCCTCTCTCTGTAGCCCATGGTAAATACTCATCTACTTTCTGTCTCTACAAACCAGCTGCTATTGAGTTAATTCTGACTTCTGGCTACCTGATATTCATCAGAATAGAACTGTGCTCCACAGGGTTTCCCATGGTTGATTTATCTGATGTAGATCACCAGGTCTCTTTTCTGAAGTGCCTCTGGATGAACTTGAACCTTCAACCTTTTGGTTAGCAAGTGAATGTATTAACTGCACTACCCAGGGACTCCTCTGTCTCTAGTTGCCAATTCTAGATATTTCTTATAAGATCCTAACAGTATGTGTCCTTTTAACAAGAACAGATGTATGCACATCCATGTTCATCGCAGCACTATTTACAATAGCAAAAAGATGGAAACAACCTAGTGCCCGTCAATGGAAGAAAGGATAACCAAACTATGGTACATATACACAATGGAATATTATGGAACACTAAAGAATAATGTAGAATCTCCAAAAAAACACATAACATGGATGAACCTGGAGGACATTATGCTGAGTGAAATAAGTCAGTCATATAGAAGGGCAAACATAGTATTAGTCCATTATTGTAAAAAGTCAAGGAACAGTTTATATATATGGAAGGAAATTTTCTTTGTTAGTTATCAGGGGTGGGAGGGGAGGGGAGGGAACACTGTTAGGTAGGTAGAGACAAGTATTGATTTAGGTGAAGAGAAGGACAATATACCAAAGGTGAGTGATCAACACAGTGGCATTGAGGAAGAGGAAGACAGAGAGAGGTGCACAGGAGGTACAGGCAACAAAGAGGAACCCTTTTGCACATACAATACTTACTGTGTTGCCAGTGATGGCAAACATTGATCTACGGGTGGATAGATGGGTGGACATGCTGAAAAATTAGGTATGTCTATGCAGGGGGGAGTGTGCCCAAGACCATGTATGAGGTTGGCAGACAATGTTTCTACAACTGTATTTGTATGTTCTGTAAGAATTCACAGGTATAAAGTAGAGCTGACAAGGGGCAAGGTTGTAGTCATTTCTTGGCCACAAACAGCTACACAAAGGGAGCGAGGAGTTGGACATGTGGGCTCAGGACAATAGTTGCAGGGGACAACAAGCTCAATTGGCATAACATATTACACAAAAACATTGTTCCACGTCCTACTTTGGTGCATAGTGACTGGGATCTTAAAAGCTTGCAAGCAGCCAACTAGATGCAATGATTGGTCTCTACTCATCTAGAGCAAAGAAGAATGAAGAAAACCAAAGATACATGGAAACAATGAGTCAAAGGGACTGGTACACCATGCGATCCTCAGGCTATATGACTATGAGACCAGAAGAACTAGATGGTGCCTAGCTACCACTATCAACCACTTGGAGGGGGATCTACGTAGGAGATCCTGTATAGAATGGGAGGACAATGTGGAACAAAACTCAAAATCACTTAAAAAAAAAAAAAGACTAAGTTTGCTGGTCTAATAGAGCCTGAGGGAACCTCCTGAGACTATGGCCCCTAGCTGCCCTTCAGGTCTAGAACTGAACCCACACCTATGGTTTCCAGCCAAACAAAGTACAGGCATATAAGCTGAATATTTACATAAGGTAGATACACTCCTTGGAGAGATCAATCACGGGAGACCAGAAGGGCTGTGTATGCACAGGGAGATAGCTCGGGGGGCAGGAGTGCATGGGAGGGAAGGACACAGGGAAGAGGTAACTATGGGGAGGAAGTGGGAGGGAAGCTGTTGCACTGTGGTAAATTATAGTCAATGTTTTAAGATAAAGTGTATGTGAGCTGCTGTATGGAAAGTAAATTTGCTCTGTAGACTTTCACCCAAATCACAATTAAAAAAAAAAAAAGAGATCATAATAGTACGTGTCCTTTTGTGTCTGACTTATTTCATTCAGCATAATACTTCCAATGTTTATCTATACTGCAGGATGTATCAGAACTTCATTTCTCTTTAAGACTGAACAATATTCCATTGATCAGCTGATGGACACTTGGGTTGCTTCCACTACTGTGAATAATAGCTATTGTGAATAATGCCACAATGAATGTTGGTGTTGCAGTAGAATATTTAATCCCATTTTAATTACTAGAAAATTGAGGTCCAAAGTAGCTTCATTAAGGTCTCATAGTTTGTAAAAAGGAGAGGAAGGATTCAAAGCAAGCTCTGCTCGACCCTACCTCAGAAGTTCTTTCAATACATCATGCCACCTTGCAGAAATGACATACACCTATGGCTTAGCAAATAGCAGGTGTGCAATAAACTCACCAAGGAGAAGAATACACAGATGAGCATGAAGTGTGGTGCTGAAACAATTAGATTAGACTTTTCTGTATAGGTATAGCTCATCGTCTAGGCATCCCAGAGACATGCACCTGATACTGCCACTTTTAGTGACCCACTGTACTGGAAGGGAGATGATAACTTGCAGTTAAATGCTATTCTTTTTGTGGTATATTTGGAATTACGTGGAGTGTCAATGTCTTCTACCTCTTTTGGTGGTGTGTTCTGTCTGCATGAGAAACTATTTTTCATTCCTTAGGGATAAGAGGGATCCAATTATTGTGGAAAATGAAAGAAACCAAGCCCTTAGCTAGAATCCTTGGATTTCAGATACTGACACGGCACCATTCCTTTTATCTAAGCTGTTGCTTCATACGCCATTTTACTAAGACAATGGAAGAGCTAATGGCCCATCTGAAACGTCAATCAGAGTTCCCATTTGTATTGGTGCAATTGCTATTGGGGGAGACAGAGAAAAAGGATTCAGTATTTCTGCTGAATAAGAAATTCCTTCTGCTGAACTTTAGTAGCCTCAAACCTGTTTTATTATTCAAAGGAGAGGAGGCACAGAGCTGCCTGGCAGAAGCAATTTATGCAGGTTCAAAGGTTTTTAGGGAAAAAAGCCAGAAAGTTAAAGAAACTGAAAAATTTCACTTCTCCTTTGACTCACCATAGAAACTTGAAGTTTCTATTTAGTTAGTGGGAACAATGTCATTCAAAGCCCATATTAACAGACTTCAATTTACCAAACAGTGTTTTCCTCTTTGGCTTCTCCTGTTTTCCAAAGGGAGTTTGAATACCTGGCTACAGTATAAAGGGAATACTGGTTGCTTTGACAAATATTCACTCCTGAGTTTTCAGCATAGGTACGGGAGCACACTGTTTGAAGGCACTTTTTTTTTTTCAAGGTAGATGTAGAGAAAGCTGAGTCAAAGAGGCAAAAATGTATTATTTATGTTTTTTTTTTTTTTTTTTTTAAAGACAAGATTCTAGGAAGAAAACAGGTTTCTGGAGAATAAAATGCAATTTTGAGAAATAAAGAGTTTACAATTACAAGGAGTCCTACAATTTTTTTAAAAAAATATTTTTATGGAACTGTAACAGTGATGCTTAATGACTAGGATACATCCACTGTTATTTTCACAACAAGTAATAAGGACACTGAGAAGGTGAGAAGCCATGCCCTGTGACGAAGTCTTTTGCAGAGCATGGAGACATCATCACTCTTAGGCTCAACATTTGGTGCCTTCTCACAATTTGGCCCCAACCGTGATCTCAGCTATGACGTAGTCACTTCTTCCAGAGCATCTTACAGGGACCATGTTAAATGACATCATGCCTTTACATGCACAAGTTCTGTTGCCTCTAATATCCTTTGCCCCTAACTTTACTTCAATCATCCTTTGAGGCTTAGTCCAAATGATGCTTCCTTGGTGAACTCTTCCTTACCCTCCCTGCCAAGGCTGGAGGTCAGGGTGGGGAAATGCCAGAACCGAGCATGGACTCCTGTCATGTGCCAAGAGCATGTGGTTAGGAGGCACCTTTAATGATGCTGGTGTTTGCCAACTAGCAACACTTGGTAGCAGGGCCTAAGAAGATGCTGGTTACTGAGAATCAAGTGGTGTGGAAAGCAGGTTCTATTCAGATGATCTATTTTTTTCTTTATGGAGCCAAGAGTGCTTAGGGAACCTCAGAAGCGATTGTGTGTCTGGAGGTCACGTGGCTTATGGCTGGCTGTGCTGAAACATGAGCAAACCTTCCAGGGCCTTTTATAAAACAATGCCATGGTGGGACTGTATCTTTCTGAAAACTGCGTCAAAATGATTTACAGAAGGACATAAGGAAAGAAAGAACGGATGTAAGCACTGGCCCACAGGAGTTCCTCAGGTTCCTCAGGTCCTCAAATGCAGGAAATCAGACCTTACCATGATCACTTTCTGTTCCTGATCGGCCCCAGTAGCGACGCCTCCTTTCTGGACTATGTGTGTGTCGTTCGATGACTGCAGCTATGAATCGAGTGTTGCTGACTGTGGGAAGGCAAAGGCAGTTAATGGCCACTCTTACGCAAGCATCTTTACTAGATCAAGCACGTTTGCTCTGAGCAAGCTCATTCACACTCTGGGAGAGTTACTCTTTTGAGAACCAGAATAAATAATTTTTTTAAAAATTCTGAGGATTAAGAGAACTAGCTTTTGAACTGGTACAGTGAGAAGTACTTAATTATGTATTTTCAACATGCATCAAGAAACGATGCTCTAGGTACTTGAAGACCAGGGTAGCTCAACATTAATGGAATTCTCTTTTGATAAAGAAAATGCTCCTCCCCCGACTTGTATATACTATCGAAGGGATTAAAACAATGCATACCAGAAGATTCCCTTTTTAAAATACTATGTTGGAAAGTAATGAGAAGAGAAGAAATGGGAAGGATGAACTGCTTTTTGCCAAAGCACTTAATCCAACAAACAAAGAACATCATAAAATCGTTTGAGATTTTCTAAAGCACAGTCAACATCTATACATTCATGCCTAGAGAAAAAGGCAGGGGTGGGGTGGGGACACCCACCATGTCAAAGCTCCTTAAATTTTAATATAAGCCAAAAGGATATAAGAAAGCATATTTATTCTGGATTGGCCTCCTGCTGACACATTCTGCAGTGAGGCAGCCGGATACTCACTGATGCCTCTGTCTTCATGACTGTCGTCGTCTCTTTCATCTCTGTCATTCTCCAGGTTGGACATACGCACTGACATTTCTACTCATCATTAAAAAGACAGAAACATGACTATTTAATCAAACAAAATCACCCACTTTAATACCCTGCTGAGTGCCTGTCTGAAGGCAGGGTGACAACATTCCATCAAGAAGAAATCCTATTTTGGAGGAGTGAACTGATGCCCTAATTCTTTTTTCATTTTTTAAGAGGAGGGACAGGAATCAGAAGAGGGAGAACAAGAAGTGTGTAATCAAGAAAGGGACTTGAAACTGATTTCTAAAGAAAGAGGAGAAACGAAGTTGACAGAGGCTAACCGATCTTGAACACTCTACCCAAGTACCTGAAATAGAAAGGATAGGTGCTAAACCCACTACTTTGTTTATATAATGGGGTTACGAAGTCCTACAATGGTCAGGCATAAGGTAACACTGGACTACAGTCATTCTCAGTCTAGCCAAATCTTACCAAAGGGAAAGTACTTTGTGATACCCTGTTACTAAATCAGGCAATCCTGTGATCCACTTTCAGAACTGAGGCCATAGCAAAACATTCCAAAAGGAACCTGTCAATACTGCTGCAAGAATGAACCAAGTGGCTGGCTCCTGACTGAATCCAGGAAGGATGGTGAGTTAGCCTTATCTCCACAAAGGCTAGGTCAAGCCACCTTTGGGACCTTTAAGGAAGGATGGGTCTGACATTAAATGGCTTTGGCCCCTGCAAACAAGCACAGATACCACACTAAAAACTCTTGGTATCTAGGCCATGATTACTTTGTCTTGTTTTAAGAGATGTATTATTCAAATGGGTGAGCATTCACACTGCACAATAACAGCTGCAGAATAACAGATTTGTGTTCTTGCCAATTGTGATCTGGGGCATCTTGCTTCATCTGTTTTGGAACTATAGGGCAGCACAGTTGACCTCAGTGAAGAGGAAAATTTCCCACTCAACATCCCAGCTCCTTAGACTGGCTTAATACAGAGGCCGGCTGCAAGCAAATCCTGTGGAAGAAAGAAGACAGGGGATCCAGAGATTTTTCTGGGAAATCCAAATGGAGCTCATAGGGGTTAGCGCTAAGGAATGAGCAATGAGCTAAAGGAGAAAAGCAGGCTTTGGCGATTCCTGAATCTGTACCATGGAAGCTGAAAATGAAGCACTGTTCTTGTAATTCCTTAGCCATGAGGACAACTAGCCATTGCCCTTATAGCCTTTGAACAAACTAAGGAGGATGCTGCCTCCCGGAGGAACTCTGGGATTCATTTTTAGCTCACCTTGGGCAGCAAGAGGCGACATGTGCTGATGACTCCGGCGATGAATCTGATGGCGGTAGGCATACACGGCAAGGACCAGCACCATGATGCATCCCATAATACCTCCAGCCACAGGACCCACAGGGGCACTTTTAATCATGTTCAATGTGATAACCTCATCACCTTCATGAAAATAAATAAACAGATGTCCCTTGTAAATACTTCCCAAATGTAGGAGGAGGTGGGGCTGACAAGAGGGGTGGGTGTGTGTATCAAATGGAAAGGAACAGACCAGGAATGGGTTTGGGAAAGGTAAGTAAGAACAGCTGCTGCAAGCTTAGAATTCCTCAAAGAAGGCCTACCAGAAGCGGAAGCAAGGGCTTTGTTTAGTCTCTGATTCTCATATTAAAATCTTGGTTGCAAAGCACAATTGGCAAGGGCTGGTAAGACAAATGAGTAGACAAGAGCCATCTGAATATGCAGCATTCATTGTTAACAGTTCTGGCTCCTTGGGGTATGAATTATGCTTGGAAGAGACGAAAACTCACCTAGTATAGAGGTGAGGGCAACACAGGCCTCTTGGGGTGGGGGGTGTGTGTCATGTGACTGCTCTACGGCAATAAATGGCACCAGGTACGATACACATGTGCTAAACAGATCAAATTTCAAAACTTATGAGCTCGCATTAAAATACCATTTGCACTTTACAGATAGGAAACTGCTGGTAGGCATTAAATGATTTCTTGGACCAAATTCACTTCAACTATGTCCTCATCTGGTTCAGTAGTAACATATGCGCTCAAAACGCTTCCTCATATGTGAGCCTCAGGTAGGGAGAAGTTAAAGAAGCAAAGTATTAACTAAAGAGTTAAATATTTAACTTACCTACTAACTAAACCTTAACAACCAACCACAAGAGTGGTCACTGAGTCAATTCTGACTCACGGTGACGCCTTGGCTGTCAGAGCAGGACTGTACTCTACAGAGTTCTCAACGGCTCTGACCTTTCAGGAGATCAGCAGGCCTTCCTACCCAGGTGCCTCTGGGTGCATGTGAACCACCAATCTTCTGGTCAGCAACCACGTGCTCAACCATGTGCACCACTCAGGGCCTCCTTATGCTTTAGGAGTCGGCAGTAACTCCAGCATGACACGGAGAAAATCTCAGCCAAGGCATACCACCCCATGAGCAGTATTTCTGAAGTCTTGCAGCCTGATCCCAGGGGCTCTCCTTCCTTCAGAGTTCTCTCCTGCTAACTGTTCCAGCTGCGTTGGGTAGCTCTGCCTTCTGTTGAACCTAAGGCCCTAAGTACTGATTTGTAGCTGTAATATTTCTGCCTGGAGAAAGTCACGAGGGAAGATAGCAGCAGCAAACAGACATGCAGTGGTCACTGTGTGCAAACTGGCCTCGAGATTCTGACAGCTGGGACTCCCATTCAGACAGACTCCAGAGTTCAGCCATGTGGAAATCAGGCCTGATATTTCTCAGGACAAGTTTTATGGGAATGAATTCCAGGCCAGCAAAATTTGGCAGGACAGATGGTTGCTCAGTCTCTCTGCACAGAATATCTAGCCAGCCCTGAAGGTAATTATCTGCCTTGGTTTTGTAACTAAAAACTATTGGCAAAGGGATCAGGGAAGTATGGCAGACAATGATTTTTAAGATTTCTGTCCTACTAGGTAGGCAGGAAAATGTATTTCAAGAAGCTAATCATTCTGGGTTCCCAACAAACATACCTATTGCTCCCATATCATCAACGTAGGGACTTTTAGCTCCGACAATCCCCCCGAAGCACTCCTTCTGGGGTGCACAGTAGGATTTGTCCAGGTGAGTCTTTCCATCACTGTCCACCATGCACCACTCACAATCCAGCACACCAAAACAGTCCCTGCCAGAAAGACAACACCGAGAGATCCAGAAAGCAGCATGGGGTCAGGTGAGAGTGCATGTACTTGGCCATGAGACAGTTCTCAAGAGCTCTATTACTTACTAGTGCTGTAAACTCCTTGAACTTTGGTTACTTTTCCTTATATAATGAGGACAGCAACAGAGAAGGCTATTTTCAGCCCTAAACAACTTGGAAATGAAAGAAATAGAACTGCTTTCTGTGAATCAAACTGTTAAACCCACACATCAAGCATTAGTGCAGAATTACTCAAAATCATCTTCAAAGACCAAATGGGCCAAGGCTTGTTAGACTTTGGTCTAACATCCAAAATATGTGCTCATTAAAAAAAAAAAAAAGAGGAAGGAAAAAATAGTCAGGTAAGTTGGGGAAATACTAGGTTAGTTAAACAGATATTTCATTACCAATTTCTTAAGATTTTAATATTTATGTGCATCATGATTCTCAGTGACTATATGCAGTGTTTCTCAAATTTAATTAGCTTTGGGTCACTTTATAACATCCCAAATAATCAATCTGATGCCACATCATCCCTCTGCTAAACTAAATATCAAAAGGCTGTCCCTTCTACCCACTTTTTGTTCAAATGTAGCTACAGTAAATTAATCACCACCATTACCACTATTCCCTTAATGTCTAGGCCCAAGTGCCCTAAAGAAAAGGATAGGAGACACAGTTTTTAGTTCTCAAAACTACCATGAAACAGATCTGCTTTCTAAGAAAGGAAACTGGTGACCTTGAAAACATCACACATACAGCCTTATCCACTGTTTCTGGATCCCACTCCCCCCGACTTCCTGCCCCCTCACCCTTGCACCTTCATGCCACGTCCCTCATACTTCTTTTAGTTCAAGGATAACTTTCCCATCCACAGAGAAGGCTACTAATATATGGCACAGATGCCAAACAGCTATAACCATTTGAAAGAGGAGAATCAAATGGACTGGACAACATAGATAAAAGGCTTTTGGAAATCAATGTCAGACCTGAAAAAAATGATCTATCATTTTAAAGCAGTAAGAATAAGACAGATGTATATTGGGTGGGAAAGCCCAGCACATTGACCTGCAATAAATGCTGGACACTGCTTACCCACTTTCCATCCTCTGGCTGCACCTGCTGTTGACACACTGGTGAAGAGCATCTTGGAGGACAGGATCAATTGTGGTGTATGTCACCGGCTCCTGGTGGACCTCACAGCTTGGGTTTCTAGGCAGAAAGCAGGTATGACGTTTAGGACCAACACCACCCTTACAGCAAATTCATCACAGCCCTTGGGAGGGCAGCTCGCAGGAGTGGTTCTTGACTGTGGTCAGAGGCAACTGGGTTTAAATCTTGGCTTTGCTACTTAAGGTGACCTTGGCCAATTACTTAACTACTCTGAGCTTCAATTTCTTCATTTTTAATAAGTAATAGTAAATAGAAATGATTTTGAAATTCAGGAAGTCATAAAAATTCAACAAAGCAGGAATGCAAAAAAAAAAAAAACAACCTCAATTCTCCCTTTTAAATTTCACTTTTAAGAGGTAAGCACAGTTAAGAGGCTAGTAAGGATTTGAGAAATTTTTTCTATGCCTAAATAAACACTGCTACCATACACATAAATATTTTATTGTCTTTTATTTAAACTCTATACAATGGATTTATTTACCACAATTTATTTAATGGTCTTAAAATATAAATAATACTGTATTAGGTGCGAGCATGTGTGTATGTGTGAAAGGTACTGCATATTTATCATAGGGTTAAATTGGAAAGGAAGTGACTCAATGTATATGAAGTACTTAGGCAGTTAGTAACTAACTGTGTGTTACATTCTCGTATTTTTTGGATGTAGCACATACACTCTTTATACTTATACAGTATTTATATTTAAACCTGAAAGCAGACTTCATTTTAAGGCACTAGGGAATTTGGAATCTGGCTCACTAAGCACTGCAATTGTTAGAATGAAATCATCTGCTTATATCCAAAACAAAACCATAAATGAGACCCAACAGTTCTTTGTTACCGGTTCTCTGCATTGGTGAGATTGCCAGTGCATTCGTTGACCTCTAGAGGGCATTCACAAGGACATTCACATTCATTTTGTTCCATTCTGAAAAGCAGAAAGAAAGTTACTATGCAGAGTGTCAGTGACAAACTACATATTGTACAAATATCAGGGAAATAAAATAAAGAAACCTTGCGCTAGCTAAGGAGCCTTGCTGAGAGTGGTTAAAGCACTCAGCTCCCAACCAAAAGGTCAGTGGTTTGAACCCACTAGATGCTCTGCAGGAGAAAGATGTGGCAGTCTGCTTCTATAATGATTTACAGCCTTGGAAGCTCTAAGGGGTAAATTCTACTCTCCTATAAGGTTGCTATGAGGCAGAACCAACTCAATGCCAGTGGGTTTTTTTGGAGCTAGCTAGAAAGGACAGTAAAAAGAAGTTTTTAACAAAGATTTAAATACACAGCTGGCCTTAATCCATTGCTCTCAGGACAAAGATGCTGCAAACCACATAGCTCTAAAGGCTTTTGTAACAGGAACTTCCACTTTCTCCAGTACACTCACAAGCACTTTCTCTTTCATTTTGCAGATGCCACTTCAAAATGACTAGCTTCAGTTAAAATATTAAACAGCATGGTAAACAGAAAATATGACCCATCATGTTTTTACCGGTGACAGTTCAGACACAGCCTGTCCACCATGCTACAAGCACAAAAGGCAAGAGAGTCACAAGTTTCGTTGACGATGCCGACAAATGCATTAGTTCCTGGGATCCTCGCCAGTCTATATTTAGAACAGTGGCTGCCATGCACAAGGTTTGTCAAATCCCCCTATGGAACAACCAAGAGGTGTCAGGAATGATAGACAGCAACGCAAAGACCCTGCCCTACTTTGGTGAAAACAATCCTTTAACAGTCTACAGAAAATAGCTTCAAAATAAGTTTATGTATACATGTATGTATCTATGCATTTATGTATCCATGTATTTATTTCTAATTATAAAAGTAATACATAGTCACTGTTAAACATTTTGGGGAAAAAAAAATTCACAACTCTATCAGTCAGAGATAATCCCCATTAAACAGTTTTATATAAATTATTCTTTAATTTATGCTTACATAGATATAAATTTTTATAGCTGTATATATAACCTGGCTTCTTTTTAAATCACTTAACTATGTAACACAAAACATAGAATAACTTCAAGAAGCAATCAAAGAGAACTTTCAGGGAAGGAATAGTTTAAAATAAACTTGAAGGCAAACTTAATCAGAAAACATGCATTTTTTCCCCCCTCTTGGATAACTTTTCTTCTTCTAGAATAAAAAAAAAATATTTAAACCAAATCCTCTTTAAGACGGCATTCTGCTTCCAAAATATTCAAACAATTTAACCAAAGGTAGTCTCCTCTGTATCATTCTATGGTAAGGAAACATGGTAACCAACTTCTTGATTTGTCAATTTTACCTACCATATTAGAAAGCAAATGGTTCAAAACCAGTATCATAAATTGTGCATAATCATTTTTCTGCATGTGTGTTATATACACTAGGCAAATTTAAAATTTAACCCCAAGTCAGTTTCTATGCCATTCATGCCTTATAAACGTGTGGTGAAGAGTAATTCTAAGAATCACAGAATTGAATGCTTGGGTTCTTAGAGGTCCATCCAAATTTTCCACTGCCTGGAAGATGCCTACCTCTATAATATAAGCAGTAATACAGGTTTATCATCTTGTTAGCTTCAATACGCAGGAATTCTCCAGTTCCTTTTTGGGATATAATAGTGGCTGTATTCTAATTCATACTGAACTAAAATTTGCGTTTTTGGAAAATTTCTACCTGAGTATCCTGGCTTTGTCTGCTGAAGAGCTAAGGAAACCACTGTCCAAATAACAGAAAAGATACACAGAGTAAGTCAGACTTTTCCATGACAGCTTTCCCTAGCAGCCTTCCTCTGACTCCATTCTACTGTGTCAGTGTTCCCTTTAAAGAAAGTGCTTCTCAGGATGGTATGGGTTCTGAACAAAGTAATAATAACTTCTCTTGCTTAAAACACATTATTGCATTAATATATTCATTTGTTAAAAACTCCTTCTCTCTTCCATTGTACACATGTTTTTGTAGTTGCTTTTTTGAGGCTAAATTTAGGATTTTCAATTTAACCTAGTATATTTTTTAAATTAATTTTTAATTACACATTTATTGTCACAAACACATATTCTGAGTAAAAATTTTACTTCCTATAAACAACTTTTTATCCTAAGCTAAGAAGAAATTAATTTTTGGGAGATCTACATGAGAGCTCGCATATAGCAGGGTGGATAGGCTACGACTGACCTAATGTGGCCTCAGGGGTTTAAGGCGACTGTGTGATCTCTAGAACACAGCAAGAGAGGAACACATAGTACCACATATATTTACACAAGAGTGTGGGAACAGATTCAGCAGACATTTCAAAGGGCTTAGACTGGGTGAGTCTTTAATCAAACATAGCCAAAAAAAAGTAACAAGTGGGAGACCTTAAAATATTCAGTTCTCTGTTCTAGGCTTTATAGTCCACGACTGTTGAACTGGGAAGCTGGACTATAGTTCGTTTCAGTCCTACAACTCTGTGATCCTACGGCAGAATTCTCAGACAGGAACCAGTATTCCATTTCATGTTCTACCGTAGGCTGGGGAGTGACAATGCTAAGGAATCAACTTACCACCAGGCTAGTGTTGAACTTGTAAAACCTCTGGACAGTTCTGTCACTGAAGCTGTTGCATAGGTTTTTCTTCACAAAGTTGGGGTGGTTCAGGATGTCATTGGCTACCAGGGGCTCCTAACAAGGCCAAACATTAACAGAAGTCATATGCCATGTAATGAGCCACTGGCTGTTGGAGAACTGAGCTATCAGCTTCCCAAGAAATACCTTGTGGGTGATGTGCTGTTGTTCCACAGGTGCATGTCCTTTGGGGTCAATGAGAGTTGGATGTGCCACCAGATAACCCCTGTCCTCCATTATGAAGCACCTGTACCAAAACAAATGACATCCTCATTCAGCTAAGTGGGTCTTCTGTAATTTCTGAGAGGATTTATTTTGCTAGCTCTGAAACACATTGCATTTATCTTAGGTTCTCAATAAATATTTATTGCAAAAATGAAGGAAGCCTGGCAGGTACATTACTACTGAGGTGGTGGATCACCTGGGATACAGGCTGAGAGTTACACCTGACTCGGAGGCCACCTATACAGCTCATAGAGGAGGTGCCTGTTTATTCCAGATCAGAGACTTTATCAGAGATCTTTATCTTTGCTTATCTTTTCATCACAGAGGAGAAACCCTGAAGGAAGGGGGCATTTATAGGGATAAACTTTAAGTAAACCATAGTTTCTTTTGATGATAAACACACATAAAATACATTATTCAGCTGACATATAAAAATCCATTTGCTGGAAATGCTAAATGAGTAAAGCTAGAATTGTGTTAATCAAGGCTACATCCTAGTCTCTTTTATTCTACATCAGTCATATTGGTTTGCCATGAATCCTGCATTTCCCCATTAAAGGCCAATGTGAAATTCTGCAGTGGTATGAAGTGTAGACCATGACATTGAACTAAGAAAGCTATTTTAAAAAAATGGCCTGCATTAAATTAAGCAACTGCCCTTGCTTTGATCAGACATGTTCTTTTGAAATTAAAGAGGCAAAGAGTTTTAGTTCCATGAGCCTCTTTCTGGGGGAAATGTAAAAAAGAACAGTCTAAGCATCTGAAAATTTCACAAAGACTTTGTTTAATAACTAAGTTAACATCAAAAGTACTATGCAAGAGTACCCTCTGGTCTTTCTAGTACCCAAGATGTGGGAAACCTTTCATTGCTCGCTTCCAGGGAAACAAGAGCTATTGGTACTTTCTGTGATACAGTTATTTCTCTTGTTATGAGCTGAGTTTATTTGTCTAAATCATAACAGCATGCATCTTAGAAAAAGGAAAGAAAAGAAACAGAACAAAATCTTCTTAATGGAACACCAAAGCCACGGACTTGATTTCTAGTCCTGACAATGATTCTGTGGATGCCATTCAACTAGAGATACCTGAAATCCCTTTCTCTGTATTTAGTCAGCTAGAAGAAAAATGCTATCTCTAAAAGGCTTACCTTATTTTGTTTCCACCATCTTGGTTACAAACTGGTAGTAAGTCCATCAGAACCTTGTAGAAGTATCTAAGTGTGAAGTCAATGCCCATCACAGCCACAGTGTGTCCAGAAGACAGCTGTGTACTTTATGTGAAAAAGACCAATGAGAATAAGAGGCTTTTCTTATTTAAAGGTAAAAGCTATGTTCAATCATAAGGACTCATTATAGCATTGCTAGTACATTCCAACTACACTTTCTCACCCCTACAAAAAAGATAAACTAATTGATTTATTTAAACAATATGGAGATTTCTTGAGAGAAAACTTTGAGACTAGTAAGTATGTATATTCTTAACCCCTAGACCATCTTTTGGCCAAAATATGGGGCTCTGATAGGGGGAAGGTAACAAGTGGGAGGTTGGATGGATGGCCACTATCTTTCCTTCCAAGAAATCTCTATTGACAAAGAGCCTGACATCTCATAAAGTTTAACTAACTAATGTAATGTTACACAAAACTTAGTAGGAACAATGCCTATTCTAACTTTTTTCCACAACACAAGAACTGGCTCAACTTCTTGTTCTAGAATATGTTCTGTTTCATGGGCCAGTCAGGGCCTTCTCCGTTCAGCAATACTATACTCAAAAGGAGGGGTAGAGAAACAGAAAGTTGGGCAGAATCAAATATATCTGAGGTCAAATCCTGGTCCTGGTGGTTTCTATCTATGTGGCTCTTGGGATGTTAGCCTCTTAAGCTTCAGTTTTCTCATCTGGATGTAGAGGTAAATTAGTACCTACCTCAGAAAGCTGTTACTGAGATTAAGGGAGATAGTATATTCATAGTGCTTAATGACATGCCCAACATATAGTAGATACCATAATATTTATTTACTCTAAAGAAAACTAAACAGTGAGAGCTTAAAGCTCAAGTCTGGGGTGAGAATGAAATTATGACCTTCTCAGAGCAACTACTAGATATATTAAAAGTGTGGACTTCTCACATGGAACCTAGGTTTTTATTAGTCTACGTTCATGGGTGCCTGGAGAGCCGTGGGTTATTTTGCCAATGGACCCCTGTACTCTGTGACTGGGAATGTGTAGGGTTTATCCAACATGGGACTTTTTAAGAAGAGTCAAAAGATTACCATCATACCACCTGATTTCTTTATAAAGAAAATAACCAACCCCCCCCCCCACACACACACAGTCATTGTTGATATTTTAAGGTTTTTATTGTGGATACAAACCTTAAAATATTAATCAGAAAGCTTAGAATAAAATTTTCAAAGTAAAATCTTTTGGAAATCAGACCTCCAGTCTTTGGAGTGAAATCAGCTTTGTCATGTAGACAAGTGTCCCCTTCTGGCTATAGTCAATACTGGTACTAACTTATATTATAGCAAAACCATTAGAAAAGAAGAATCATGACCTGTAGAGAAAGTTCTATCAGAGCTTTGCTGTCAAAGCTGAGTGGCAGGGGTTAAGGGAGACCATGGTGTGGAATAACCTTTGAGAAGCTACTGCCTCAGCAGGTCTTTATTTTTACTAAAGTAACTTAAATTCCACCCTGGAAGAAATGCAAGACAGTCTTCATAGGTGAGATCTGTGCTTTGTAGCAATAGTGTTTGCTGAAATACAAGTCAAAAGAATTTTAAACCTTTCTTGGTTGTCCAGCAAGGAGTGATGAGTCTAAATGATATTCACCATTATGATAATGGCAACAGCTTCCATTTACTTAATGTTCACACTTTATTGATAGTCTAGTAGGCATTTGAATTAAATAATTTATCACAGAATTTTATTATCATTTCCAGAAAACTCATGCTGGGGGAGATTAAATATTTGGCCAAAGTTACACAGTGACTGGTGGCTAATGAAAGCAGGAATTTTAATCCAGTGTCTTCCATCTCCACAGCATATACTTTTAACTACTAGGTTATACCGCCTCCTTACATCTGCACAGCACTCAAGAGTTTCCAAACAATTTTATACAACTTACTTAATTTCTTGTAAAGACACTTGGAAGGACTTACAGTTCTCATTTTATAAAAGAAAGATTAGATATAGAATGGTTAAAAGACTTAAAACACAGCTGATCATCTTTTATTTATGGTATAAAGGCTAGTACTCAGATCTGGCTCTTTGTATAACACCACAGTCCCTGAATGAGAAATAAAATTCAATAAAATTTTGAGAATAAGCTAATTTTGCTTTTAAGCTTCTCCTGTATGATTACCCCTGCACCAATATGATCAACACATTGAAGGAACATATTGCCTATGTAAGTCTAACACTCATACGTTTACCTGTATTTTAGGCATGCATACTGTTACTGTAGGAACTCAGAGAATGTTACAGAAAAATGAAACCAAACCTGTATTTCTAAGTAAACAGTACAATGGACCAGGCTGTTTGCATTATTTTTGAGATCTTCACTGCCAAAGACCCATCTAACCAGTCCCTTAATCAATAACTGAACATGATCAGCATGATCATTCTCCAAAGAATGCAAACCAAGGTTCTCAGGTCACTGATAACACTCATAGAAGAATCACAATACAGTACAGCTACTATGAGTAACTGATAAATGAGTTCTGAATTGGAAAAAAGAGTCAGGAAGTGGGCTGTCTGGCCTTTTCCCTTACCAAAAGGCCCTCCCCCAAACTACCAGCCAAACCACTTCTGTGGTAGTTAAGTTATGTGTTAGCTTGGCTGGGCCTGGTTTTGAGTGGCTGGGCAGCTGGACTTAAGTTATTCCCTATGGTGAGATTGGTAATTAACTCCATGGTGGAATCTACTGGAGCAGCTGAGTAGCTGCTTTAGGGATGTGGTCTGCTTCCAGTATATAAGAAGCAACTTTGACGATGGTGTCCAGCTCATGGCATACTTGTACCCTGCATGTAGCTGAGTCATTGTTCAGCAGCCTGCCATGTTGTCTGTTGATCTTGGGACTCTTAATTGACTTGAATCAATGGCCTGCTGTGTGGTTTGGTAATATGAAGACTGTGCTTTGTTACTTGTTGACCTTGGGTTTATCAGTCTCAGCAGCCAACAGCTGCCTGAGTGAAGAAAAGCCTCCAGCTTCAGCGGGCTGGGAGCAGGAGGCAGAGCTGAAGCCCAAAGTTGAGGGGCTTTCACCCAGGCCCTAGAGCCTGGCACTTTGACTTTGGACTTCTAGCCTTCCAAAACTGTAAGAGAATAAACTCCTGTTTGTTCAAGCCATCCGATTTGTGGTATATGTCTGTTAAAGCAGTACAAAGTAACCAGAACAACTTCTGAAAATGAACGGTAAATGGGAGTGCTTCATGACAATTTGATATTTCTCTCGCTTAATAAGTGCCAAAAATTTAAAGCATGAATAATAATAATAAAAACCCATAGCCATTGAGTCGATTCCCACTCATAGAGACCTTATAGGACGGAGTAGTATTGTCCCACAGAGTGGCTGGTAGGTTTGAACTGCAGACCTTTTTGCTAGCAGCCGAGCGTTTAACTACTGTGCAACCAGGGCTCCTTAAGACATGACTAGCAGGACAATACTAACTACTGTCATTTACTCAACACTGTCAATTACAGTACTAAGTGTTTTACACGAGTCATCTCTGATTCACATTATACTAGGTCAATATGGGCATCATTACCTCTTCTTTATACTTGTGGCTCAGAGAAGTCATGTTGTTGTTATGTGCCATTGAGTCAGACCTGACTCATAGCGACCCCTTCTTGGGTTTCTGAGGTGATCTCACCATGGAAGTAGATTGCCTAACCTTCCTTCTAAGGAGTGGCTGGTGGGTTTGAACCACCAGCCTTCTGGTTAGCAGTCAAGTGCCTTAGGCACTATGCTACCAGAGCTTCCAGAGAAGTCATAGGACATAATAATAATAAAAGTATTTAACAATAATTGAGCCCATATCACATGTCAGAGTTCCTGACTGGTACATACTTTAATGACTTTGCCTGGTACCTGAAAGGCTGAGGTTAAATTCTACCCAGAAGGACCTGGGAAGAAAGGCCTGTTGATCTACTTCTGAAAAATCAGCCACTGTAAGCTCTACAAAGCACAGTTCTACTCTGACACACACAGAGTTGCCGTGAATTGGAACTGACTTGATGGCGACTGATACCACACACTATACACTGCTTTAAAAGCTTTACATATATTATTTAATTTTAATCCTTAAATCAAACCTGTGACATCAGCACTATCATCGCTCACAGGTGAGGAAACCAAGGCAAACAGGGAATATAGCCATACAATTAACAAAAGGGAAATCTACGTGGTGACGCTTATGATGGAGAAGAAAGATGTTAAAGACTCAGTTGCACAGATGGTAGAAATGCCAGCTCTAAACTGATGGAAGAAATAGCAACAGGAGCCTGGTGCATCACGGTCAGAAATTGTTTTCCCAGTAAAGGAGCATTTTCAGTGAAGGAAAAATGTACTACCTCTTGTATTTGGGTCAAACACTCTAGAATTAAGTAGGCGGTTTTTGTTTTCCCTTTGTCCTTGTACTGTCTCTTGAAAAACAAAAAAAGGCTTTTTAAAAATTGGCTTTCCAGGTATGTTATAAAAATATCAATACCACTGTCAATTTATTTAGTGGAAATTTTGCCTTTGAAGTTTCTGTTCAATCAATATTTAAGCTACAGATGCCAGTGGAATTTTGGGTGGAGAGGAAAGTCACATTGTTTTAATCCATCCCTTTCATTATACAAACAGCTGTTTTCCTTAGCAACTAAGAAAGACTATATTTTGACTGTTACCTGTAATGATGCCTTAAAATTTATAGGAAACAGATTTCCTGCTTAACTTTTTGCTTTTCACTGGTACTCACTATATGCCAAATGATTGACATTCAGCGGAATTCTTCTAATGCGAGTTCATTGGGAGCACGAATCAGGAAGCAGCATGGTGTGAAATTTCAATATCATATCCTGCATCCATCCAAATGTTGAGTCCTTTGCAGGGCACATTAATATGTTTGGCTATGTCAGCTGCTCCCATAATATTTCACATATAAACAAGTAAACACTCGTTTCAAACAGATTCCTTCAATGTTTTCATTAACAGACCATCTGTTGGGTATACACCTACTAACGTTTGAATAGCAAGACTTGTCATCCTTTCCATATACTCTAATCAGTTGAGAAAAAGTAAATGAAGGCTCTTTCTTTGAAAGGATGGCAGTTACTTTGGTCTTTGGTGACATGAAATGGGCCAGAATTCGGCTCTTGACTATATGATTACAGTGGGGCAGGCAGAAACCCACTTGTGTCTTGGTCCCATCAGAGTCCCCCAACTTAGCCACTCATCAGTAAGAGTCATTAGATTTCCCTTCTATTCACTATTGTTTTTGGGGAGAGGAAACCAAACCTAACTCACTGCCATCAAGCCAATTCTGACTCACAGTAACACTTTAGGACAGGGTAAAACTGCCAAGACTGTAAATCTTTACAGAAGCAGATTGCCTCATCTTTCTCTATGGGGCAGCTGGTGGGTTTGAACCGCTGACTTTTTGGTTAGCAGCTGAATGCTTTAACCACTATGTCACCAGAGCTCCTTTGAGGACAGGAAGGGGTAGATTTTTATGCTCATATATGTATGTATACCTGTTATTGTTGGGGTTTAGACAGGTGGAAGAATTTTGATTTAGTTCATTTACAAACATTTATGATATTAGTCTAAATGAAATATGATGGAAATATGATGGGCTTTCAAGAGAGAAAAACCTGGGTTGAATCCCATAGTTAGTTACTATGGTTGGCAAGAACACAGGTAAGAGCCTTTCGTCAACCCAACTCCCATGGGAATCTTTAAGGTAGGAATTAACCTCCATTTCACAGACGTCAGGGGAAGTTCATGGCACTGACATTACACAGCTAAAGAAGAAATGCAAACCCTAGCTTGCCTCACTTTAGGAGTAAATATTTTTGGCTTTAACCCTTGGTGTCTACCACCTTATTAAAAATTTTAAAATATCCTTAATATGTTTAAAAGATGACTGAAAGATTAATTAAAATGTCACCTCGATGAATGAATTGTATGACTGATGGTCACTACATAGCCAGCTCCTCCAACATCAAGGTAAGGCCCAGTCAAAGAAATCAAGCCTGGATTAGCTACAGCATGGAGATACCTAAGGGAGACCAAAGAAAGCCATGTTATTTTAGGGTATAAATAACTACTCTGTAAATTTCAAAGAAGACTGAGCTTGTAACTCTGAAAGTATTTATTGTAAATTGTATCTATGTCACATTACATTTTTAAAGGTTCTTATCTTTTGTGTCTGACTGTAGCACTGACAAAAGAGGTCAAGAGAATCTGAAAATTCCCTCTTTTAAAAACTGAACTCAGTATATATTTGAGCTTATTAAAAGATCTACAATGCAGATGTTTCATAGGCTGAAATGAAAGAGTTAATGAATGAAGTAGAAACAAATTCAGTTGGGCATATCAAAAAGCACCTTGGGTTAGTAAAACAGTGGAAGATGCGGCAATAAGAAGAGGCAACTCACGAATGACTCAGTTGTTAAGAAGCATGAAACTAGAAATCCTGTTTTATTTCTTTATTTTTGTGTTCAAGTCTCTATACCACCTGGCTAGCTTTTGTTTCTGAAAATCAGAGTACAAATAAAGCCCAGAAATAAATGTTTCTGAGTTCATTATTTATGGGTCATATATGAGTTATGTAATTTGATGCCATAATCACTTGTAATGAAATTAAGTATACCCACTGTGGAAACACTGCACATGAGGTAGGAATCAAGCAAATCACTAAGAATTAAAATTGCCATGTGTAAGGCATGTCAGTCTCCAAATTTCAATGAAGAAATAAAAATACCCAGAGAAAACCCACAAAGCTGTTGTCAATGATACATTTAAAAAAAAAAACAAACACAAAAACCAAAAAACCCACACAACTACACAAAAACATGTTTTCACTGCCATGAAAGTATCTTCTTTAATGTAAATGCCTGAAGTCACTTTATTGTATGTATTTATCATGTCTCTCCAGGATTTGGGAAGAATCTCTGATAAAGGGAGCCCCTAAAACTCACCATTGCCTCCTAGTGGGATCAAATGCTTTGTCCATGAGGGAACCAGGATAAATTCTGAGGACGCCATTGGGCGTTGCTATGTAACGGCGGACAATGTAAGTGTTCAGGCTACTCATTTCCATTTGTGTCATCCATTCATCTGTGACGTGGCTGGTAGCCATTACTTCATTTCTGACAGAGAACTGAGAAACAAAGGAAGACATAGCAGGGATCCTTTAAGACTCACATGAAAAGAGAGCGGGCTGCTGGCAGGGCTCTCTTGCACAGAAGCCAAGCCCAATTACTTCTTAAAAACCTTTCCACAGCAGATGGATGCGGCCTAACTTGGTGAAAACAAAAGCTCACTGAAATATAGAGTCAGTTTATTATATGATTACTCAATTATTTGTCCTAGCAAGGTTTCCTCTGTTCAAGAGAGAAAACTCTATAGTGAAGTACATTAAAACACAAAAAGAAAAGGACAGCTAAATCTCTGTTCCTTAAACTTCATCATATTTACCTCAACAGACAGTGATGGGCACTCCTTTCCCCTGGGAAAAATGAGGCTGGGAAAGTTCCACTGGTGGCTAAATCACAACCCCCCCTACCATGGAAACCTCAGTGCATCTGAGATCTGAAAGAGATCGTTCATCTGGCCCCCAGGGCTTCTTAATCCATCAGAAGGGTCATTGCTGACCAGCTTTCCCTGGGACACACACTCCGCCTTTCTGGCTCTCCAGCTGAGAGGCACAGATCCAGCACTGGGCTTCCCACTTCAGAGGTGTGCTGCAAGTACCACCTCCTGTGCTGGTGGAAAGGGTAGACCAGAGGTGGGGCCTCAGGTCAGCACTCACTTTGAGCCCCGGGTTAGCAATGAGGCGGGTGTTGTCACTGAGGTAGGCTGTGTAGTGCTCCACCATGCGCTTTGTCTCAGGCTGGCTGAGGTGTTCGTAGGGGGAGGAAAAGCTGCCAGCAGACAGCATGACAGTTGGACTTTCTGAAAGAGAAAAAAACAAAGCAGGTCTGAGAGCACTGAGACTTCATCATTGGCCCAAGAAAAGCATAAGTAAGGTGCTGCCACTCAGTCAGCTATGGTGGCTTAGTGTCTTCCACAAGGAAAGCTAAGAGCCTGCCACTGGAAGGAGCTAAAAAGGGAAAAAGCTACATTTTCTCCTCTTAGGAAGCTTATAGTCCTAAGAGTGAACTAGATGAAATACACACACACAAGAGTACAAATGCCTGAAATGGCAAATTGTCAAAATATCTTAGATCTATACATAATACGCCACACTTACTTGAATCAAGGAAGCAGTGTATACTGGAGAGCCTGACTTGGTTGAAACTGGGCTCCACCATTTCCTGGCTGTGTGTTTTTGGGCAAATTGTAATGTATGTAACATTTTCATTATCTGCACAGCAGGGACAATGATTGCCCCAACCTTACAAAAGTATGCTGAGAATTGGTTAAAAATATATATTGTTGTTGTTATGTGCCGTCGAGTCGGACCCGACTCATAGCGACCCTTCCTTGGGTTTCCGAGGCTGTATCACTATGGAAGTAGATTGCCCCATCTTCCTTCCGAGGAGTGGCTGGTGGGTTTGAACCGCCAGCCTTCTGGTTAGCAGTCAAGTGTCTTAGCCACTATGCTACCAGAGCTCCCAAAAATATATATAGCAAATGAATTAATAAATATAAAGCACTTAGAACAATGCTTGGCACATAATAAGGGCTCAATACATGTTAACTATTATTGTTCATATTATTATAATTTTTAAGTAGAAGAAAAGAACAGTGCCATAAATGCAAAAATTAAATAAAAAAATCATTCTCACAGATGGGGGCAGCCAAACCTGGCATAAACAAAAGCTTGTGGAAATTGAGTAGTTAGTTAACGAATTCATATTTAATTGTTTATCCTATCTGAGAGGGAAACATTGGTTCTCTATCTAAGACAAAAATACCCACAATGAATTTACATTATGAAACAACACCCTACATTTTTGTCTTTGGCATTGTCTATTATAAAATCTTATCCTATTTTTTATGAGTTTTAATATACTTTAAAAACACTATCTTGTGTCCTGTCTCATTTAAACATGTACATTGGTTTCTTTTATTCCTTTTATTAGTTTTCACTCCTGGTGTCATGCTTCCTTGTGGCTGACTTATCTCTCACTGTACTGGCCAAAGTATTTAAAAATGTAGGACTGGGTTGAGACCTAACAGCATGGGAGCATCTTACAGAGAGGGCTGTAGTTTGATCCTGCCAAGTGCCATACCCCAAGGTAAGGTAGGGTGGTGCAGTGGAAACAGCTTTGCATTGTGGGACTTTGGTATTCAACTAGTCCTTTGACCATCTTGTTCAAGTTTAAATGCTTGAGATCCCGGGGCCACTCAGATGCCAGGAATCCCAAGTCAGGGGCTGATTTATCTGAGGTTCATCCTTATCCTAATGATGTCCTTTAGGATCTCTGCTAAAAGCATATATGTGTTTTGGTTGGGGTGGGGGCAAAGGGAAACTGTTTCATTTACATTAGACTCTAGAACTTTTGGGGACCTGAATTTGATTTTTTCTTTCCCTCTAGCCCCAAAAAGCCACCTCAAGCACAGAGCAATTCCCCAACTATTTCTTCTGGGATGGTAACTATTTACATTGTAAAAATGGCTTGAGTACTAAGTATTTTTTCTTTGTGTTATCCTTTCCTAGATTTTGGTCCAATTCCTCACCACCATGTTAGAAGTGAGGATGGCAAGACTTTGCCTCACATACTTTGGATATGTTATCAGAAGGGACCAGTCTCTGGAGGACATCATGCTTGGTCAAGTAGAGGGGTCAACAAAACAAGAAAGCCCCTCAACAAGATGGACTGACACTACAGGTTACAACAATGGGCTCAAGCATAGCAATGGTTATGAGGGTGGTACAGGACTAGGCAGTGTTTCATTCTGTTGTACACGTGTTTGCTATGCATCGAAACCAACTCAACGGCGCCTAACAACACCACCACCAACATCATCATGTTAGTTCTTAGATGCTTCTCAATTTTTTTTTTTTAATGTTTTCATCTAGTATTTTTAGTTGGTCTCAGTAGGATGAGTCAGAATCACCTGTCTGCCATTACCAGAAGATGCTGCTCTTAATAAAGCTATGTCTCACTTAATTCTCATGACATCTTTGTGGAGTAGCCTGGGAGATTATTATGACGATCACAGAAAAAAAACCCAAAAACTGGAGCCTTAAAAAGGTTAGATGACTCTCCAATGTTGCCCACTAGTGTGATGTGGGCTCATGTGCATATGTGTGTGCTTGTGTGGTAGGCTGAAGGAGAGGTAGCGGGAGTGAGAATGAAGATGTATGACTTGCCCTTGAACTCAAAGAACTTAGGATTCAATTGGCAAGACTAGGGATAAATGGAAGGAAACAACAATGTTAAGAATACCATAATAATATAAAAAATATAAAAAGAAAATACATATTTCAGGGCCAAGAAAGTCACAATAGGGTCAAAAGGCCAGAATTAAGAGGAAGAAAGACTCCATGGAGACATGGCCTTTCTAAGTAATGCCAGAGATAGAACATTTTAGAAAAAGTCAATGTAGCAGGAGGGATTGAGCACAAAAAGAGAAAGAACCAAGACATAGAAAAGAATGCTTTGTGTCTAGGAGGTAGACATACACATATATACACACACAGTTATATATACATGTAATTAACCGTATGGGGTGATGTACTCTTAAAAAATTCCTCTTTGTGTACCAAGAAAGAGCACGTACCTCCATCAGCTCTCTTAGAAGGAACTTTGATACATTAATATTTTCTCTCAAAATACTCATCATCAATGAAATCAGATAAGAAATCCTTATTCATCATCATCTACCTTATTTTCTATTTCCTTTTTAAAGTATCTTAATTATCTTGGTTCACTTTTTATTACCAACTGATCCTAAAGTATCCTCAATGACCCCTCTCTACTGTTCTAGGGTTCCACCGCCCAACATGCAGACGAATGGAGTGGTGGATAGAGCTCCCAGTAAGGAACCAGACATAAGCCTGAAATCAGTCAATTAATCATGAGTATAGGGTTTGAAGTCAAAAACTGCATTTTCTGTGCACTCTCTACAAGGCAGTGCTGGCCAATCAAAACACAGTGCAACCCACAAATATAGTTTTAAATTTTTCTAGTAGACACATAAAAGCAGTACAAAGAAACAGGTTAAATAAATTTTAATAATGTATTTCATAGACACCAATATATCCAAAATATTATTATTTTAAATATGTAATCAATATAAAAACGTTAAGTACTAAATCTTTGAAATCTAATATATTTTACACTTCTAGCACATCTTAATTTGAAATGGCTACATTTCAAACCCTTAGTAGCCACATGTGGGTAGTGGATCCCATATTGGGATTATCAGGAGAAAATAAAAAACCTAGGCCTGAGGATTTTTTCTCCAAGAAAAACGGTTGCTTTTTATTGTTTTAAATTTCAAAGCAGTGACTTCATTTTCACGAATAGTAATGCTTAGCTTGCCACACAGTCCTTAAAAGAGGGCCATGCACACACACATTAGCTTTTCAGTAAGCATTTCTTAAAAACATGAATTAAAGGATGTACATACTCCTTTGCAAAAAAAAAAAAAAAAAAGTAATAAAAATCCCAAATCTAAATCAAAAGAAATAAACAAATGTAAAATCTGACTTCCTTTGACTGACATCATTAGCTCTCCTCGAACTGTCTACACTGATGGCCCATATCACAGAAGGGACTACATAACCCAACCTATACTTCCTAGGATGGAATTTAAAGGAGGAACCCAAACACAAGTGGTCTTGTTTGGAATCTAGAATCTTCAATCCTCTTCCAATTTTTGCATTTTCTACTCAGTTTACCAGAGAAAAAGAGAATACGTGTTTTATGGTCTTGTGAATGTAGTGGGGGATATCGACAACATGGACCACAGATGCCCAGGACAGCACACAGTAAGAGGCAGTAGTAACACAGTAAAAGGAAGGACCATGAGTCAAATTTAAGCTTTGTGATCTTGGGAAAATTATTTATCTCTGGTAAACCCATGTGTCCTCATTTATAGCAGGTCAACCCAGATGATGAATGTAAAACACCTGGCATAATAAACATAAATTCTCTTTTGCTTTCTTTGAATTATTCTTTTTTACTTCTTAAGCTCTTTTGAAGATAGGGACCTGTGGGGGATACTGTCTATTGCCTATGCACCACAAAGACTCCTTTGGGGCCCTTTCACTATTTCTCTACTTCCCATAACCAAAACCAAACCAAACTCACTGTCATTCTGACTCACAGTGACCCTACAAACATACCTCCATATCTGTGTATATGCCTTTAATGGGCTGCACCTGCAAATCTCTTTGATGGACTGTCTCTGGGTTACTGCAACTTCTTTGCCCAGCACTAGCAGAAAGCTGTAAGTTACTAAGGGATATAAAAGCCAGCTCCCTTCTTTGAGTCTGGACAAACTCTGTAGCACACACTCCAGAGCCCCCTCTACAGGCTGAGGCTGGAACTTCACCTGAAATCAAACCCCTGCTTGGCTTCTCCCCATTCCATCTGGCTTTCCTCACTTTCTTGGTGGTTTCTGCTGAGAGCTCATTCTTAATAAACCATGACACACTAATCCTCATCTCAGCTGGAAAACCTGACCCAACACAAGGCTTCAAATCTTTTCACATTTTTATCTCTAACCCACCTGGCACTGCAGGCATTCAATGTTCTTTGTCTTTTTTTTAAATTCAAACTATGGCGAGTTTCTATGAGTAAGGGGGGGGTAAGTAGTGGTTCAGTGGTGAAACGTTTGCCTTACATGCAAAACCCTGGGTTTGATTCCTGGCCAATGTACCTTACTTATGTGCAGCTAGCTACCACCCATCTGTCACTGGAGGCACACATGTTGCTAAGATGTTGAGCAGGTTTCACTGGCACTTTTAGCCTAGGATGGAGTAGGAAGAAAGGCCTGGCAATCTACAGTGGAAAATCAGCCAATGAAAACTCTATGAGTCACAATGGTCCAATCTGCAACTAATCATGGGGATGTTGAAGCACTAGGCACCATTGTGCACAGGGTCCCTGTGAGTCAGCAGCTGACAACAATAATTGACTATGAGTTAGACTACAAAGGAAGGTGAAAAGTGAAAACATTACCTAGAGTTGCCAGCTGTTTGAAGTGGAGGCAAGCACTGGGCTGGCCCAGGAGGTCTAGCCGGTGGTAAAGCAGCTTGCTGCTGGGGACAGTGTTGAGGTTCTTCAGTTGTTTGACTGGTATTTCTGGTTGTATCACCACAATACAAAGAATAAAGGAAGTGTCTTGTACCTGTGAAAACCAATAAAGAATTTCTAACACAGAAAATGAAGGTTTCATGGGTAGGGAATCTGCGTACATTATTTTCTGCTCTTTCTCTGTCTTCAGTACTTAGATAGAAGGGATTCTTTAAATATTTGACGAATGAATAGAAGACATGAAGATGGGGTGAGAGAAACTACCTCTGGCAAAAGCTGTATTTTCTGTTTCCTTTTCTGGTTGAGGGAAATTAATGTATGTAATAGTAAATCCTGGTACTAATGAAAGGATTAGGAAGTAGTCCCTTAGAAACAGTGACCCTGACCCCAGATACTTTTTTCTTACTTAGGGTTATGGATACAACCTGCACATGGTATTAGAATGCAATACTTATACTTATTTCTATTTGAGTTTAAAGTCTACTTTATATATATATAATTGGCTTTGCAATATATGCTCTGAGAAGTGACCATTTTTCAAGCCCATGTATATGCAGTATCTAGAATATGCAAATGCACAGAGACCAAAGTAGATTAGTGATTACCAAAGGCTGGGAGGAAGATGGACGTGAGAGGTATTGTTTAATGGGTACTGATTTTTTGTTTGGTAATGAAAAATTTTTGGAAACAGTCATAACAGTTTCACAATATTTTGAATGTAATTAACGTTACGGAATTGTACACTTAAAAATGGTTAAAATGGCAAATGTTATGTTATAAATATTTTTCAATAGTAAAGTTAAAAAAAAAAGAACAAGTTGGACTTCTCTAAGTCTGTATTTTAGAAGATGAATGGAACCTGTTTAAAGTATGGTGTGTAAATTAATGAAGGGGGAATGAATAGCTAAGTCAGAAGGAAAGCACAGTGCCTTATAACATAGCAGAAAAAGGTATTTTGTGGTCAAATGGAAATTTTTATCTAGGTAGGTTATAGTTAAGTGTAAGTTAGAGTTTGTAAGTATGATTACAGAATCTTTAAAGACAGGAGAAATTCACATCTTCCTGGAATTGCTTTCAAGTATTGCTGCCAAGTATATTCAATTAGATTGGCAAATTTAATCCTCTTCTTCCATCCACCAAATTAGAAAGTGACAGAGTATTCTGAAGCGGCATTTACTATTTCCTCTCTTCTCATCTCAGATAGTCATCCTTTGGAGGTTATGTTCTCTCTGTTACATGTTCCAAGGAAACCAAACACAAAATCCCTACCAAAATAGCCAGGACATAATTTTAAAATTCGATCTGTTCTATAAGAGAAAAGTAAAATGTACCTTAAACATCTAAATGCAGCACTACATAAATAGTCCTTAGGTAGAAAGGGAAACTTTTAATACAGAACTTTCTATTGTGTTCTTAGGTAGCGCAAATGGTTAATGAGCTCCAATACTAACCTAAAGGCTGCCAGTTCAAGTCTATGCAAAGGCGCTTTGAAAGAAAAGCCTGGTAATCCATGTCTACAAAAATCTGTCAATAAAAACCCTATAGAGCACAGTTCTATTATATTCTATTACGTGACACACGTGGGGTTGCCAAGCATCGGAATCAACTTGACAAATGGATTTGGTTTTTTAATTGGGTTCTTAATTGGGGGGAAAAAAAAAGTCTGTCCATTAAAGAACTTTGATGTTGTGAGGTCAATCCAATATGGTGGACTTGGCAGATATACTACCTAGACCTAGACCCTCAAACAATAAAGACCTCAGAAACCAAGTGACATGGATGTGGATAACAATCCTGGAACCCAATAGCTTCAAAGAAAAGGATAAAGAAGTAGATGAAATACTGATTACAGACAGAGAGACTGGATAAAAACAGCAAATAAGGAGACACATGGGGCGGTGAATTGCCAACTGGCCTGGCACAACGTGGCCATTTTGTATGATTACAAGTAGTGTTCAGATCAGAGCAGGAAGGAGATCATCAGCTCTGCTCATTCAGGACTGCACTGGCACACACATTGGTGATGGTGACCAAAGACGTGTTATTTCCCCTTTTACGTGGCACAACCTTTTGATAACCAGAGATGCAGTACTCCTTTACCCCCAGCCACCTGACGGCTGAACAAATCACCCCCAACCCTACTGCCAGTGCAGTGCTTTCTTTTTTTTTTCTTCTGTCTTAGTTCATCCCTCTCCCCCTATTTTTTTAAATTGATTCCACAGAGTGGGCACCCCGCCCCTGCCACCTCAACAGTTAGAAGTGCACACCACCATCCCTTCACGGTCAGCAGTGCGTGCTCCACAGAGCAGGCATCACATTCCCACCACAGCTGCACTTGGTTGCTAGCACTTGCACCAATACTGTGGTGCTTTTTATTCTTTTCTCTTTTTCCTCTGGTGGTATAGTGCCTAAGGCACTTGACTGCTAACCAGAAGGCTGGTAGTTCAAACCCACCAGCCACTCCTCGGAAGGAAGGTTGGGCAATCTACTTCTGTAGTGATACCACCTTGTAAACCCAAGGAGGGGTCACTATGAGTCAGGTCCAACTCAATGGCACATAACAAGACCAACTTTTTCCATTATTATTTTTCTTAGTTCTTCACTATTCCCCCAACTCTGCTTTTGTAATTGTTTTGTTTTCTTTTTTTCTCCCTCTCCGCCCTCTTCTTTTATGAGAGAATGGATTGTTTTAAGCTTGAGAAGGTAATAAAAAATACAATGTAACCTCAAAAAAATTTAATAAACCTTTTAACCAAAATAAAAAAGAAAATCATAAAGACTCAGGAAATACTAAAACAACAGCAACAAAAAGAAATGAACTCAGCATAGAAAAGCATATGGAACAAAGAAATCATACACACAAAACCCATAGCAAAATGACAGCAGTAATTTCATACCTATTGATAATTACATGGAATATAAATGGATTAAATGTACCAGTCAGGAGAAAGAGTAGCTGAAGGGATAGGAAAACATGACCATCAATATGCTGTCTGCCAGAGACACATCTTAGACACAAAGACTAAAATAAGCTAAAATCAAAGGATGGAAAACTAAGCAAATGGCAAGCAAAAAAGAGCAAGAGTGGCAATATTAATTTCTAATAAAATAGACTTCAAGGCAAAAACTAGCAAAAGATGGAGGAAGAACATATATTGATTAAAGGGTTAATCCAGCAAGAAGACATGACCATAATAAATATCTATGCACCAAATGAAAGCCCCAAAATACATAAATCAAGTTTAAACAGAATTGAGAAAAGAAATAGACAGCTCCACAATAATAAGAAGAAACTTTATTACACCACTTTTGATGAAGGACAGAAAAACAAGAAAGAAACATAACAAAGATACAGATGAGCTAAACAACAAAATCAACCAATCAGATCTCATAGATATACACCTAACACCCCACTGAACAATAGCACCATGTACATTCTTTTCCAGTATACCTGAAACATCCTCCAGAACAGACCCTATTCAGGCCACAGCGCATGCCTCAATAAATTCAAAACAGATCACAATGCTGTAAAATCAGAAATCAACAACTGCAAGATCAAGGGGCGGGGGGAGTCAAACACATGGAAAAGGAATAACACCTGGCTTAAAAATTACCAGGTAATGGAAGAAATAAAAAAAAAAAAAATTAAAAAATTCATTGAATTGGAATAAAAACACAACAAACTCAAATCTGTGGGACCCAGCAAAAGCAGTGGTCAGAGAACAACTTATCTCAATAAACACAAACATCAAAAATGAAGAAAGTATCCAATACCACCAATAATTAGAGAAGTCACTAGAGAAAAACAAGGCTCCAGTAGTTGACAGAAAACCTACTGAGATGTTTTAACAAACAGATGCAGCAATGAAGGTGCTCGCTTGTTTATACCAAGAAATCTGGAACACGGCTACTTGACCAAATGACTGGAAGATATTCATATTTGTGCCCATTCCAAAGAAAGGTGATCCAAAAGAATGCAGAAATCATATCATCAGTATCATAAGAAAGAAAATATTTTCAGAAAACAATTCAAAAATGGTTGCAACAGTATATTGATAGAGGACTGTCAGAAATTCAAGCCAGATTCAGAAGAGGGTGTAGAATAGGGATAACATTGCTGATGTCAGATGGATTTTGGCTGTAAGCAAAGAATACCAGAAAGATATTTACCTGTGTTTTATTGACTATGCAAAGGCATTTGACTGCATGGACCCTAACAAATTATGAATAATGTTGCAAAGAATGGGAAAGCCAGAACACTTAATTATGCTCATGAGGAACCTGTACATAGACCAAGAGGCAGTCCTTTGAACAGAACAAGGGAATACTGTATCATTTAAAATCAGGCAAGGTGTGTGTCAGGGGTGTATCCTTTCACCAAACTTACTCAGTCTGTATACTGAGCAAACAAACTGAGAAACTGGACTGTATGAAGAAGAATATGGCATCAGGATTAGAGGAAGACTTATTAACCACCTGTAATATGAAGTGATACAACCTTCCTTGCTGAAAGTGAAAATGACTTGAAGCACTTACTGATGAATACAGCCTTCAGTGTGGATTGCACCTTAAGATAAAGAAAAGAAAAATTTTCACAACTGTACCAAGAAGCAGCATCATGATAAATGGACAAAAGCATGAAGTTGTCAAGGATTTCCTTTTATTTGGATCTACAATCAATGTCCATGGAAGCAAGAGTCAAGAAATCAAACAGCATATTGCATTGGGCAAATCTGTTGCAAAAGACCTCTTTAACGTGTTAAAGAGCAAAGATGTCATTTTGAAGATTAAGATGCTCCTGACCCAAGCCATGGTATTTTCAACAGCATCATATGCATGTAAGAGCTGGACAATGAATAAGGAAAACCAAAGAGTTGATGCCTTTACATTAAGTAAGTGTTGGTGAAGGAAACTGAAAATACCATGGACTGCCAGAAGAATGCCAAGATACGGCCAAAATCTGTCCTGGAAGAAATGCAGCTGGAATGCTCCTTATAAGTGAAAATGGTTAGACTTCGTTTTATGCACCTTGGTCACGTTGTCAGAAGGGCCCATTCCCTGGAGAAGGATATCATGCTTGGTAAAGTGGAGAGTCAGAGAAAAAGGGGAAGACTCTCAACAAGATGGACTGACACAGTGGCTGCAACGAAGGGCTTAAGCAGAGCAAGTACTGTGAGGATGGTGCACGAGTGGGCAATGTTTTTCTTCTGTTGCACACAGGCTTGCTATGAGTCAGTACAAACTCTGACGGCACCTAACAACAACAAAGCTCACCAAGCAGGAAGGACAGAAAAGAAGGATGAATAGAAATGGGAAACATAGGGAGGAAGTAGGAAGAATGCTGCTACTTGGGGGGACTGCAATCAATGTCACAAAGCAAAACATGTATGAATTGTCAACTGGAAACCCAGTTAGCTCTATAAATTTTCACCCAAATCACAATAAAAAGTTAAAAAAAAATACAAAAAACTTTGAGACATATCAACTAAACAAACAAATAAATAATAATGATAACTGAAAGAAAGAAAAAAGGTCATAATAAAAATGGAAGTCCACTTTCCTCTCAGTCCATTACAGTATTAAGGCCCTATGAAGACACTGTTACGGTATGCTGAGAAGGGAGAGTAGAGGAGAAAAACATAGGTAACATGGTCAGCATGTACTAGATTCTATTTTTACATGATTTTTTGAGCCCCAAGTCTGAATGAGGTTGGGAAACGAAAACTGAGGTGAGCGGGCATTACAAGTTTGGCTAAAGTGTCAATCCACTCATGCTGAGTATGAATAATCTAAGTTCTAATCTAAAATTTCTTTTTCTTGGAGAACATCAGTAAAAGCGATTTATGATTTCAAACTTCCTTTTTAATTGTCAACTTCTATAATCTGTGTTTTAAGATGATAAAAACTGAATAAATCTAAGATCCCTGGGTGGTGCAAATGGTTTGCTCTTGCTGCTAACCAAAAGGTTGGTTGGTTCATAACCACTAGCAGTGCTGTGGGGGAAAGACTTGGAGATCTACTTCCGTAAGATTACAGCCACTGGAAACTTTGCGGAGTGCAGTCCTACTGTGACACACAAGTCAGAATCAACTTGATGTTCAGTGGTTTCGATTGCTTTGTTGTTGTTGTTGTTCTGGACACAGTCTTAAAGTATAATAGGGTACCAGTCGAAGAAATCATGGTCCATACAGACAGTGTAACAGTTGTTGTTGTTGTTGTTACGTGCCATCGAGTCGGCCCCGACTCATAGCGAACCCTCCTTGGGTTTCTGAGGCAGTATCACTACGGAAGTAGGATTGCCCAACCTTCCTTCCGAGGAGTGGCTGGTGGGTTTGAACCGCCAGCCATCTGGTTAGCAGGCAAGTGTCTTAGCCACTATGCTACCAGAGGGTAATAGTAGATACCCACAAAGATGTTTATGCCTGCATATGAATAAATACTGTCTGGAAATTGATCAAAGTGGTTACTTCTAGGGAAACTGAGGTCAAAGGCAAAAGGAAAGGAAAAATATATTTTACTTTCTACTTTATACCCTTTTAAATAGGTTGATTTTTATTAATCATGAACATTTATTTGTCTTACAAACCAAAAAAATAATATAAAACATATGTGACATCTTTTTTTTCTGATCATTTTAAAACAGATTAGTGATACAATCAAACCTAATTTCCCAAAAATCCTAGCATGAAGAAGAGCACTGTACCAGGTAGCTCCTCTGGCAACCGTCACTCCCCCTCACTCACCATCTTCCAGGCGTAACTGACATTGTAGGCCTCCTTTCCAGTTTCTCTCAGCTTGTTTATGTGCCAAGACAGGGATGAGTTCACCGGGACTGCTATAATCTGGCTGCCCAGAGGGAGGCTGTGTTGGCAAACAGAATGAAATATTTGAAGCAAAAGATAAAATTAAGCACTTAATTAAAAGCAGCGAAGAAGCTGTGAGTCAATGACTACCTCTTGATTTTGAAAGCAATGAAGTCAATCACTTTAGAAAGAGATAATATGTGGTTTTCAATTTCCTAAACGCATTACTCTCTACACTTGGCCCTCAAAGTCTAGTTCTTTCCAGAGACTCTCTTGTCTCAAATGCTCAGTCATTAATTTTATACCAATGAGCCAATTCTCTATAGCTTACAATTCGCCAAAATAATGTATCACTGTTGAAAAAAAATCCACTTTGTCTTTAACTTAAAAGAAAACTTTATGATTGTACTGTTAACCTGAAACAGATACTCCTTTGCCAAGTTATCGTTTTAGTATGTAGCAGAGCTAGTTCTCATCTTCATCTTTTATTTTGCTAACTTTTTCAATTGAGTATAATTGGGAGTATTTTCTTTTAAAAAAATGAGAATATCTTATTTTACAATTAAAATCACAATGAAAATAGAATTTTATTTATAAGATTTCTTCCCCCAAGTAATAGTTCTGAGAAACTTTATCTGTTATCCAAAATAAACAAAATCTTGGCTTTTTTTCCATATGGAAAAATTATCAAGTATATTTTTGATATTATTACTATAATTTATGGATACAGTTTTTATCTTCCAGTAAACACTCATATTTGACCTCAGTGGTTTCAATACTCAGAGAAAAAGAAAATACTACGACCCTCACCTTTTCCTTACCTTAGGATATTTTGCCGAACCAATTCAAATTTGGGGATATTTTCATAATGAATGATATCAGTATGAAGTGGAGGTTCTGATAGTAAGTATGGCCTGGTAAGAGATGGATGCATAAGTGTATACCCTGAAATGAGAAAACAAAACGCAAACATGTTGCAGGAAGTGTTTACTCCAATAAAAGTGCCTGTCACTGGTTTTATATTTACAATTCTCTGGGATAGATGCCCAATGCTCAATTTCTCCTTCTCAGTATGAACTTCACTTGTCCAATAAAAACCAGCCTCGTTTTATGTGTGCTTATGTAAACCTACTGAAGTGTAGAAAGATGCTTTAAATTACTGATTGTCTGTCTAATCAAGAATATTTTCAAAGTGCTAATCTTATGGCTTTCATTTTATAAGTGTTCTACCACAGAAACATTTATGCCAATAAACTGAAAGATGATCATATGGACAAAAAATGGTCCAAAAGATCATGTTCTATTTGTCATTCAATCGTCAGCTCTAATTTCCTAATGTTAAAAATAACTCTTACCTATCCCTCAACACAGCATAAACACATACATAACTTTCAGATTTACTTTGCCATCATTGCGGTATTCCACTGCAACTGAGCAGTCCTGCCTCATTGCTGTTCCTTAAATATTATCATTTTCCTACTTATTTATTGGGAGCTCTGGGGCGTAGTGCCTAACACATTTGACTGGTAACCAGAAGGCTGGTGGTTCAAACCCACCAGCTACTCCTCGGAAGGAAAACTGGGCAATCTATCTCTGTAGTGATACCACCCCAGAAACCCAAGGAGAGGTCACTATGAGTCAGATCCGACTCCATGGCAGTGAGTTTTTTTCACTTATTTATTAGTCTCAGGATGTCTATGGGTATTTTCTTTAGTTGCTAAACAGATCATTCTCTCCCAAGATTAATTTTTAGGAGATTACCTTTGTCATCTATGAGAAAAGTATAGGAAGCCAAGGAGTCTTGGTAATATGTCACGTCCTCAAGGATGTAAGCCAGGTTCACGTCTATACCTACAATTCCCAGAAGTAGGTTTCCAAAATAACAGGGCTTACTCACAGTCATTATCAAACCTATGGATGGAAAAAAAAAAAATACACTATTGTTTGGAACAAAAGAGAAATAAGGAAACCAAAGACTCAGAGAATAAAGCCATCTATAGGACTAAAAGTTGACATGAACTATGGCTTCCTCTACCCTGAGACTGAAGAACTTGATGGTGCCCAGCTATTCCTACCAACCATTCTGATCAGGGCTACAATAGATGGATCCTTACAGAATGGGACAGAAAGGTGGAACAGACTTCAAATTTTTACAAAATACAAACTTACTGAACCAGTTGAGACTATAGGACTATGATACTGAGATATGTTTTAAACTGCAAACTGAAATTATTCCTTGAGGCCGGCCATCTTTTAGCTAAATAACAAATTGACTCATAAAATAAAGACTATCAACCATGAGTAATGAACTTATTTAAGAAAAATCATTTATAGGAGACCAAACAGGCAAAAACAACTCAAACACAAAGAGGGCAGGGAAACTAGAGTTCTGAAAATGCTACAACCAGAACAGAATCAATCAGTATGATGACATATTGTAAAAAACATAACCAATGTAACCAGATAATCTGTGAAGAAATTGTTAAAGGAGAAACTAAATTGCCATGTAAACTTATACCTTAAACACAATAAAATATTGATTTCATAACAAAATAATAGACTAAAGCATAGTCGTCCCCCTCCCTCCCAAAAAAAGACACCAGAGAATAGGAGAGAAAGTATCGGACAAAGACGGGCTATGTATTAGCAAATCATAAAGGCTAATATTAACCACCTCAATTTTGCCAGGAAAAAAGTTTCCTTTGTGATCCAATAACCAATGACTGCTTTTGCAGACAGTGTAACAAGCCAGTTAATATGGTTAGAATGCTCTACATGTCCTCATATCCCAGTTAATGTAAATGGAGACAATTTGTCTATTTTCCATGATTTTTTCACCTAAAAAGGTATGACATTCCAGATCAGTACAAAACATCAGGAGTAAAAAATATATCACTCTATTTCCTGAAGTGGGATGGTTCAGCTGAATTTTGAAAAACTATTGGACAAATGATCTAAACATCTGGGTTCCAGCCCAGTTATGTCCCTTATATACATACGATTTTGGACATAACCTCTCTGAGCCTTGGCTTCCACATCTGTTTGAAGGGCACAATTGTGGTTCTTTACTGGTTTCTAGTGGTTGTCAGATCAAAAAAGATTATGATAAAGTAATGATTATGAGGTAGTATAATGTTTCATTAATGCATTCTTCCCAAAAAAATGGGAAGATGGAAGAAAAACTTAGGTACATAATCTTATTAATTGACCATAGAAGACTCTGAATATCTGAAGGAGGTACTAAGTTTCCAAAGGAATGTATTGTTGGTCACTTAAAGCATTTGGCTGCTAACCAAAAGGTTGGTGGTTCAAACCTACTTGCTGCTCTATGGGAGAAAGGTGAGGCAGACTGCTTCTGTAAAGATTTATAACCTTGGAAATCCTGCGGGACTGTTACACTTGGTCCTATAGCATTGCTATGAATTGGAGTAGAATTGGTTAGTTGGTAGGTCAAAAGGTATTAATCTTTTATGTAAAGGGTCAAATAGTAAATATTTTAGGCTTTGAAGGTCATGTAATCTCTACTGCATGTGTGTGTGTGTGTGTGTGTGTATACATATAATGCTTTAAAAATATATATAAACAATGTTTTATATACAAACATATATATAAACATATATATATATATATAAACATATATATATATAAAATGCTTTAAAAATATTAAAAATATTCATAGCTAACAGGCTACACAAACCAATATAACAATGGAAATGGAGAAGGGAAGGAGAATGTGTAGAAGCAGCGCACAACAGAGTTGGGTCACTGCATGGCAATGTGCATCAGGACCCTGGGTTCTACTCCCAGCAGTGCCACCCTGTTGGGTAGGTTATGTCAACTCTCTGAATAAGTCATTTTACGTGCCACATAGAAAACTGAGACCAAATGTTCTCTGTGATCCCTAACAAGTCTATAGTCCTATGGCTATAATGCTATACAAAAGATGGATGCATTCCCTCTATCTAGAAAGTATCAAACTCTCCCTCTATTTACAGGTAGTCCCTGACATCATATATTCAAGCTATGACCAACCACACTTAAGATCTTCTGTTTCGTGGGGCTTTTTTTCCCCATCTTATCATTAGCAATATGGACTACATACAGTGTTGCAGTGCATAACCTGCTGATGTTCCCATTATCTGTAAGTTTATATATAATGTTTCCAACCCCCGAAGACAAATAAAGATTGGATTTTTAAAGATACTGATAATGAAAGGCAGTAATGAAAGAAAAAAAAAGGTGGTGTGTGTCTTAGGTCAGTACCAACTTATAATGAACGAAGTCATCAGTCATAACGGAATTCCAGTGTATATCAGGGACTACTTATGTTTGCCTGCCTGCCTGCCAATCTATCTGTTTTAAAACATTTTCAAATACTACATGTTTTAGGGGAGCTCTGGTAGCATAGTGGCTAAGACACTTGCCTGCTAACCAGACGGCTGGCGGTTCAAACCCACCAGCCACTCCTCGGAAGGAAGGTTGGGCAATCCTACTTCCGTAGTGATACTGCCTCGGAAACCCAAGGAGGGGTTGCTATGAGTCGGGGCCGACTCGACGGCACACAACAACAACAACAACATGTTTTAGAGAGTTTAAAAAAATGTATTTTGCTGATAGTTTTGCTCAGGTCTTCCTGAGTAAATAAGCTATAAGTATTAGGAACAGCACTGTGAGGGCAGACATGGAGACAGAGGTCACAATCTGTATGTATATCCCCCTATGCTTTAGTCTAAGATTAAAGCCATTTCCACAGAGCAGTAAAGTACAACAGAAATACTTTGCCTCTGAAATGCACACTCACTTCAAATTTCTATTCTCCTCTGGCTATATATAGAACAAAATCTTAAAAAAGAAACACAATCTTACTTTTCCATTATCAACTCTGACAGAAGACTTTTCATCCCATTGTGGCAAATAAACTATGGTCAGCTCTTGCTATACTAACACAATCCCAAAATGCACTCACTATTTTAATCAAATGCAACATAGATTTGTTTCTTCAAAGAAATATATCCACTTGCTGATATTCTAATCTCTGCAGGTTTTGAACTAGAGTTGTGTAAATAAGAGGAATCCTAGTGGCATGGTGGTTAAGTGCTCAGCTGCTAATGGAAAGGTCACAATTTGAACCCACCAGCCACTCTGCAGAAGAAAGATGTGACAGAGTCTGCTTCTGAAAAGATTTACAGCTGTGGGAACCCTACGGGGCAGTTCTTCTCTGTCTATGGGGTCGCTGTGAGGCAGAATATACTTGATGGGAATGGGTTTCGGTTTTCTGGTTTTATCATTATGAGTTTCTCTAGGCTCAGTGTCTTCATATCAAGGAGTCAGAGGAGGTGTCACCCAGTAATTCCAGGGACTCAAAATACAAAGACCAAAAGACATACTCAAGTAGGGGAACACAATAGACGAGTAAACTAATCACTGAAGCCTATGACATACTCCTCAGAGATGAGACAATCATAAATCAGGCCCCAAAGACCAAAATTTGCATAGTTTTATGGATCAAATTGTTTTATGGATCAAATTGTGTTCTCCAAAAAAGTTTTGTTTAAATTCTAACTCCTATACTTGTTAAGGTGACCTTGTTTAGAAACAGGTTTCTTTTGTTATGTTGATAAGGTCACACAGGAGTAGGGTGGTCCTAAACCTAATCCCGGGAGCTCTGGTAGCATAGTGGCTAAGACACTTGCCTGCTAACCAGACGGCTGGCGGTTCAAACCCACCAGCCACTCCTCGGAAGGAAGGTTGGGCAATCCTACATCCGCAGTGATACTGCCTCGGAAACCCAAGGAGGGGTCGCTATGAGTCAGGTTTGACTCGACGGCACATAACAACAACAACAACAAACCTAATCCCTTCTGAGTGGTGGCTTACAGAACGGGAAGAGAGACAGGGAGAGGCACATCCAGGTGGAAGAGACACCACATCACAATGAAGATAGATGCATTCACATGACAGCAACACCGATGACTGCCAGCAACTATTAGAAGCTGAAAACAACAGGTAGGATCTTCCTATAGACCCGATATCCTGAATTCAAATTTCTAGTCTGAACTGTGAGATAAATTTCTGTTCTTTACTCACCTATAGTATTTTTTGTAATGCTAACAGATATACAAGGAGTTCTGATGGTACAGTGCCTAAGGCATTTGACTGCTAACCAGAAGGTTGGCAGTGCAAATCCAACAGCTACTTTGCAGAAGGAAGACGGTGCAATCTACTTCTGTAAAGATCTGCTGCCTTGGAAGCCAAGAGGGGTCACTATGAATCGGAATCGACTTGATGGCAGTTGCTTTGGTTTTTGGACCAGATACACAGGATCCAAAGTTTATTGCATTCAGGGCAGCTCTGGATTGAAGAGGTAAATTTTGGGAAGGGTCACACTCTACCAGATACTACTATTTGATACCCAAATTTGTCTGCATAATCCTCTGTGTTTGCACAGGGCTTAGTTTATTACATCTTTGTTCCTTTCACACAGAATGAAAATCATTTGTTGATCTCTTTCTCTTAATAGATTTAAAAGCTTTTTGGGGGAGTGGAATGCATGCCTCACCCATCACTGCCTGGCATGACACTTGCCTACCAATCAAAACTTGCATTCAAGACTTGACATTCTCCCTACAATGGTAAACAGTCTTATCTAAAAGTGTGAGCTTCTATTCTACATATGTCTACTGGCCCTGGCAGAAGTAGGAAGGATAGAAAATTAAGATGTGGCAGCAGGTGCCATATGTCTTCCTGATAGAAAGGGTTTATTTAACTAGTTTCTAGAAAACATATCTTCTGTTGGCTTATTTTTTATACACGAATTTTCTTTGAGTAACGATATTTGTGAGGGTTGCTAGCTTTGTTGTTGTTGTTATGTGCCGTCGAGTTGGACCCGACTCATAGCGACCCTCCTTGGGTTTCCGAGGCAGTATCACTACGGAAGTAGATTGCCCAACCTTCCTTCCGAGGAGTAGCTGGTGGGTTTGAACTGCCTGCCTTCTGGTTAGCAGTCAAGTGCCTTAGGCACTACACTACCAGAGCTCCCAGTTACTAGCTTACTGAATTTAAAAATAAGATCTTATGTGATCATCATGTCTGTCTGCCTTTCCATCTTCTCTGTCAAGGAAGGAGAGAAGGAATGATGAGGGAAAAGGGGCATAATAATTAAAGAGCAGTAATTATTATTGGGTGATATGCCAGCACTAAGGAGCTCTGGTGGCATAGTGCCTAAGGTATTTGACTGCTAACCAGAAGGTTGGTGGTTTAAACACACCCGGCACTCTGCAGAAGAAGATTGGGAGATCTACTTCCGTAAAGATTTACTGCCTTGGAAACCCAAAGGGGGTCATTGTGAATTGGAATCAACTCGATGGCAGTGAGTTTGGTTTTTTGGTTTGGTATGCCAGGCACTGGTAAATCTTACAAAATCAAAACCAACCCACTGTCATTGAGTTGATTTCAACTCATAGTGACCCTACAGGACATAGCACAACTGCTTCATAGGGATTTAAAGGCTATAAATCTTTACAGAAGCACACCGCGTCATCTTTCCGCCATGGAGTGTCTTATTAGGGTCAAACTACTGACCTTTTGGTTAGCAGCCAGATGCTCTAACCGCTATGCAACAAATATTATCTAATTAATCCTCTTTATAACTTAAAAGATTACTCTATTTTACAAATGAACAAATGGAGTATTAATGGGATTAAATAATTTACTAAGTACTTAAGTTGCAGAGTGGGATGTGAAACCTTATCAGCTACTAAGCCTCTATTTTTTTGACTACACCATGTCTTTGAGGTTGAATCCTGGGCATTCTGAGCTTTATGCACCCTTGCTATGCAAAGCTAGGCTTTTTAGTCAGTTCACTAACTTCTGGGTATTGGGGAATTCCCTTGAAACCTCCACAGAAGATATATCCATTATGTATACTAAGCCTGTGGTGACAAGGAAGAAATGTTGTTGTCGTTGTTATTTGCCGTCGAGTCGGCCCCGACTCATAGCGACCCCTCCTTGGGTTTCTGAGGCAGTATCATTACGGAAGTAGGATTGCCCAACCTTCCTTCCGAGGAGTGGCTGGTGGGTTGGAACCACCAGCCTTCTGGTTAGCAGTCAAGTGCCTTAGGCACTATGCTACCAGAGCTCCTAAGGAAGAAATAGGGCTGAGTATTTCTTCTCTAGAATACAGTGTTACAGGACAGATGGCGGGGCGCTATACAACCTTCTGACTCAGAGAAAGGGACACCTACAGCCTTGAACTGCCATGCATATTCACTTGCAAATAATGAACAGCATCTAAACATTATTGTCTTGCTGAACTCATGCTCATTTATGTTTGTACAGTACTTGTCTATGCTTTTAGTAGGAAGTTTTTTCCAAACTCACCATCTCCCATCTCATCAGAGAAGGGGAGGCTAAAGACAGCTTCGTCGATCATCCGGTTGGGAAGGTTAGTGTAGAATCTGCCGACTGTGGTCTCCAGATTACTCAGTTGGTTCAGCACCATCATGCTGCCCTTAATCACAGGCAAGCATGTCCGGTCCGGCACGCCATATTTTCCTGAGTTCTGTTCAGCTAGATCTCTCAGAAAAGCCAGCTCTTTCAAACCAGTCACCCCATCTGAAATTGAAAGCCAAGAGAAGAGAATGTGAAGCAAAACAGTTTACAGCCATGCCATACCATGCCATTTAGATCTAATACAGGCATGGATGAGGTCTTGTGATGCCAAAGGAGCACGCAGGGGGCTTTGCAAGGAAAATATGGACTCAGGATGTAGATACTGGCTCTTGCTGAGGGTCAGAGCCAGAAGCCTGGCATTTCCTTAAACAGTCAAGAAGGTAAAGGAATTGTTCAAAAAGCAATGATGAAAAGCATATATGCCAATAAAGGAGCCTTGTTTAGCAACGAAGTGTTCTCCCTTAAAAGTTTAATTATAAAATACAAATTCTTTTTCTGCTTTTAATATTTAAAGCAAAAGTAGTAATTAGCAAATCTGCATTTAATTTAAATTAGTAGATGAAGTTGTGAGACCTTTAAAGGTTAAAGGTTTACCACTTCACGCCTCACTTCTTCTCCTGTAAAACACTTCCCAAAGTCTTTACATGAAAGAATGCATTTACATTGAAAGGAGTTACGGTCTGCATTTAGTGATGCCCCAAACCCTTTTTCTTTAAGCTCATTTTAATTACAAACATTTTCATGTTTGATATTGTTAGGATAATATTGAGTTTGATTTATTTAATGTATATTTTTTACATTTAGAGAGTTTTAAAAACTGTAAAAGATTCTGCTATAGTAGGCTGTATTGTTCTACAACATCTGTAATCTATAGTACAAAAATCAATTTAATAAACCTTTTTTTTTTTTTCTCTTAAAGTTTGCTATGGTTGGAACACAGTCAAAAGGAATAGTAAGTGATTGCATATGGGTTCCACTGTAAACAAATTCAAATGATTTCAGTTACCACTGAGATTCTACTAATAAGGTTAAAAAAGCTTTTATCTCATGTTTTTGAGGATTTAAACAGTAAACATGAGCTGTTAGTAATTAAAAAGAATCTTAGGTTACTGCTCATCTAATATACCTATCTTCATCATTTCTAAATAAGGAGTATACACATTTCTTGCTTTGCCAGTTCATTTCTAAAGATGTGGCAGAATCTAATGGATGTATTTTCTTTCGTGAAAAATTATATTAAAATAACTTGATTTTTACCCCACTCATACAAAGCTAAAGGAAAGGTAAAAGTATCTAAGCCAAATTTAGTCAGAATCAGATTATTATTCTCTTTGATTGGTAGAGTAGAGAGGGTGGAGGTGGATCTGACTTATAATGACCCCTCCTTGGGTTTTCAAGGAGGTATCACTAAGGAAGTAGATTGGCCAACCTTTCTTTTTTTTTTTTCTTATTTTAAAAACTTGTTTTACATTCAAGGTTACATGTACATTTAGTTTCACTCCCCATTTACTATGCCCAGCCCTAAGCCAGTCTCCTCCCCTCCCTATCCAGGAACCCTCCCTGTATCCCTCATAGTTATGCACTTCTGTTTGTCCTGCATTTCCTCAGTGTGAATGTTGCCCCTCTGGTGCCCCGTGGTCTATTGCTCTCAGGGATATCTTACCATAGGCCCAACCTTTCTCCCGAGGAGTGGCTGGTGGGTTTGAACTGTCAGCCTTCTGGTTAGCAGTTAAATGCCTTAGGCACTATGCCACCAGAGCTCCGGTGTTGTCCAGAGTAAAAGATAAACACAAAAGGCATGATTGATCGCTGACCTTATACCCTTGAGAAGCTCAGAGGCAAATGATAAAAGGAGGTGATTTACAAAATAAATACATGTCCTTCCTTTGTCATATATTGCTTGGCTTTTTCAACATGTAAAAGAAAAGTGATAAAAAAGAAAATATCTACAAAGCGAAAGAAACAGTGTGGGATGAAAGATTATCAAGGATTGGGTACTTTGTGTCAGTCCATCATAAAATGTTAAGCAGGGTGGCAGTCAACAGGGTGACAGACTAGTAAACGTGCTGGGTTGTTCTACTGACAACATTATCATGCTGGGAACTACATTTCCCAGAATTCCCTTCCCTGCATGCTTCTAGGTTAAAGTTGGCCCAAAGGGAAGTGGTGTGAGATTTGGGAGGCAGAATGAGAGATGGTGAAAGACAAGCACAGAGATACTGAAGATTCCAGTGTGTCCCACTTTTTCCTTCTCCGTGTTCACCTATTTCCCAACTGTCAACTTGCTCACCAATAGCAACTAACCCTGGTCCACTCCTAAGGATTCCTTGAGAATTCACAGAATCATCAGCCATGCAGAACTAACTTTTCCGAAAGTTCTATACCAGGCCTCCTAAATGGTCCTTACTTTTACAGCTTGATGGTTCTAGCTTCCAAACTTCCCTGCAAGCTCTGATTTGTTCACCCATGCTAGAGAGCAGCTGGTTACTAAACTTTCTTGGAGCTGTTTGTTTGTTTGTTTTTGACCTTTACCTCCCCAGCCTTTCCCACAATTTTGTATAATCTAATTTTGATAATAAAATTTCTATTCTAAAATTCTTATGGTGGTTTTGCTTCCCTATTTGAACTGTGACGGATCATATAAGGGAATGAGTCTGCCCTAGTGAACAGTGCTTAGAATTGGCATTTGGAGAGAGAGAAATCTGGCAGTGAGAATGTATATCTGACTAGATTAAAGGGAGAAAGAGAAGAGATAAGGATAGTTAGAGGGAGTAATTGTAGGCTTTAAAGTATGGAATTATCAGGAACCCAGCAAGTAAGTGTACAAGAGATGCTAGAGGGAGGATTTAGAACCAATGACAGGATGAGAAATAGCAAGCCAGGAAGTTTCTTTACCTGAGATCTCTCTGGGCAGATATTCAGATCTAATGGAAAGGAAGTGATCACTTCCTCTCATTTTCCTTGCTCCTTGACAATAATATTTAACTCATCCGCCTTGTCTATCTGTCTTCATTTATAAGGTCCTTAAAGACAGGGGCTTTGTTTACTATAGCTCTAAATCCCCAGAACACTAAGGGCAGCATGCTGAACATAGTAGGTGCTCAATAAATTTCATTTTCCTTACTTTCTTTCTTCCTTCCCTCTCTCCCCCTCCACATGAGTAACAGAAACATGAATCAAACTATAGGAGAAAACAGCAATAGCCAACCAGAGCTGACACTCAAGGGCACGTACCCTAGGCAAACACAAGCCATCTTCAGCTGTGCTCAGCCCTGTGCCAAGAGCTTAGAATACAAACAAAAATAAGACCTGATTTATGCCTGAGAAGTTCACATTCTTGTGGAAAATGAAGAAGGAAAGGAGAACAATATGCAAACACAGCAGTCTAGTATAATGGGTGGCATGGTGAACAGAAGAAAGCAACACATGCTGAGGACACAGACACTGTACCTCTGAGCTATATTGTCTGAGACATAAGCTTTCATTCTCCCATTCAAATGGCTTTGAGGACCAGGTACTGTGCTAAGAAGGTAAAGGCTCTGGTGGTGTAGTGGTTAAGATATTTGGCTGCTAACCAAAAGGTCAGTGGTTTAAGCTCACCAGCCGCTCCATGGAAGAAAGATGAAGCAGTCAATCTACTTCTGTAAAGATTTACTACACCCTTGAAAACCCAACAGAGGTCTCTATGAGTAAAAATCTACACATTGGCAGTGAGTTTGATTTTTGGTTATGGTGCTAAGAAGGAGCACTGGTGGCACAGTGGTTAAACATTTGTCTGCTAAATGAAAGGTAAGAGGTTCAGAGGTTCAAATCTACCAGCTGGTCCAGAGGTCTGTAAAGATTTACAGCCTTGTAAACCCTATGGAGCATTCTATGCCATCCTACAAGGTTGCTATGTGTTCAAACAGACATGATGGCAATGAGTTTCATATTTTTGATTTGGTGCTAAAAACTCTGAACATATCATATTTTGCTTTTTATCCCAAAAAATCCAAGAAGAAGATATTCTTATTTTACAGAAGAAACCAATGTCTACAGAGATTAAGTAATTTGCTCAAAGCCACTCAGCTAATAAAAGCAGAATAGACCTCAGGATCACTTGACACAAGAGCCTGTGTTCTTCCAGGTGTAGGCTATCAAACACCTGGAAAAGAAACATGCTGGCCCAAACACAGACTGCTGGACTCCACACCTAAGAGGGTCTGAATAAAAATAAAGGCGGTGCCTTGGAATCTGCATTAAAAAAAAAATTCCCAAGTGATCCTTAATTAGCACATTAAAATGTAAGAATCACACAGTCCTCCATAGAAATCGGGAAGCAGAGACATTTAGAAGACCGTAGGAAGGATTGCTGAATCAAAATATAGTCTCTTAAAAACAAGAGCAGAGGGACACCTTGAATACTGATGGTAAGAGGTCCAAAGAAGACAGAAGATAAATAGGGCATCAGAAAGGTGGAAAGAGACAATAAAGCAGAGAGGCTAGAAAAACTGGAAGTACTCAAACTAGAAAATAGGTTGGATAGTGAAAAGGAAAGAAAAAAATTGAGTATTTCCTCTAATTTGTCAGTTTACTAAAATAAGACCTTTCACATATACTGTCGTACTTAACAGCAACAAAACAAACTGTTGTGTGCCATCGAGTCAATTCTGACTCAGTGACCCTACAGGACACAGAGGACTGCTCCCTAGGGTTTCCTAACCTGTAATCTTTACAAGAGCAGATCACTAGGTCTTTCTCCAGTGAAGCCACTGGCTGAGTTCAAACCACCAACCTCTTGGTTAATAGCTGAGCACTTAATCATTACACCAGGGCTCCATAAAATCAGTTGCCACCAATTACCATTTAATAAGTGCCAGGCACTGTCTGGGGTATTTTCTATACATTGGGGCTAATCCTCACAACAATCCTAGAAAGTAGATCATTCTTATCTCCATTTTATACTTAAGGAAGCTGAGGCACAGAAAGTGGCAGAAGCAGGATTTTTCTGGGAAATGTGAAATTCATAGTCTTGGATATACATACAGAAGCATGCAGGCCAGTAGTTTGCCTTCCTGCACCTTAAACAAATGAGAAAAATTAATAATCTCCATGAAGTAACAAAACCTTAGATCATCCAAGAATATGAAGGAGAACTAATAAAGATGGAGCCATGTAAGGCCACCTCTGGTGGTGTAATACCTAAGGCATTTGACTGCTAACCAGAAGAAGATTGGGCAATCTACTTCCGTAGAGATACCACCTCAGAAACCCAAGGAGGGGTCTCTGTGAGTCTGATCCACTTGATGGCAGTGAGTTTGTTTTTTGTTTATTTTTAACTAGAACAGATTAAAAAAAAAAAAAAACACCCCAAACTCACTGCCATCAAGTTGGTTCTGACTCACGGTGACCCCTCACTGGGTTTCCAAGGCAATAAATCTTTACAGAAACAGACTGCCTCATCTCTCTTCTGTGGAGCAGCCAGTGGATTCGAACTACTGACCTTCTGGTTAGCAGCCAAACGTGCTAATCACTGTTGCTGTTGTTAGGTGTCATTGAGTTGGCTCCAACTCAAAGCAACCCTATGGACAAAAGAAGGAGACAATGCTTGGTCCTGCACCAGCCTCATAATCCTTGCTATGCCTGAGCCCATCATTGCAGCCACTGTGTCAATCCATCTCATTGAGGGCCTTCCCCTTTTTTGGTGACTGTCCACTTTACCAAGCATGATATCCTTCTCCAGGGAATGCTCCCTCCTGACAAACTGACCAAAGCAAGAGGTGAAGTCTGGCCATTCTCACTTTCAAGGAGCATTCTGGAAGCACTTCTTCCAGGATAGATTTGTTAGTACCAGTCCATGGTATTTTCAGTATTTTTACCAACACTACAATCCAAAAGCGTCAACTCTTTTTTGTTCTTCCTTTTTCATTGTCCAGCTTTCACATGCACATGAGGCTATTGAAAATACCATGGCTTGGGTTAGGCACACCTTAGTCTTCAAGGAGACATCTTTGCTTTTCAGCACTTTAAAGAGGTCTTTTGCAGCAGATTTGCCCTAATCACTACACCATCAGAATTTCTTTGGAGTAGGTTTAGAACGAAGCTATAGGTTGGAGAGAAAGATGAAGAGACAGGGACATCCAACTGCATGCTCCACATCTCAACATTAGCTACAGAGACAGACACATGGGAAGAAAGTTGCTTAGTTGCCTCTCTCTATACACTTAATCAAAGCACATCATTACAGTTTCTTTTTTTTTAAATAAAAAAGCAGGATACACTTAAAGGAAAACTTTCATCTGAAAGAAAAATCTCGAAGTATTCCCTACCGTTCATGAGGGCATAGGTGAGAATCATTACAGAGTTGTTTAAAAAGCTATTTTCTTCATTGATGACACGGAGAGTAGCCTTTTTATCTTCTTCTGAGGAGTCCTTTGATGTAATGCCAGCTGACAGGTAAATTATGACCATGTCTGTATCTAAACAAAAACATATAAACTGAATGTTACATTTGGATTCTGGCTAAAGGCAGCAGCAGCTTTTCTTTCTCATTTCCTCTGGACTTTTCCACCCCAAGGACCTGCCTGGCCCGGCATTTCTGTTCCTTCCTAGTCGATGCTGTAGCTTTCATCTCCCTGTCTCTGCTTCTCTCCCATCTGCCCTTTGTAGACAATGAGGCCCCATTTATCCCGTGCCAGGTAAAGCCACGCTCCTAAAAAATTTACCAGATAAAAGTAGGTGATTTCCTGTAGGCACCCCCAGTTGTGGTAATTTAACAATCTTAAATGGGAATCTCTCCTGCTTTATGAAATGGAGAATTCAGATCATGACTTAACCTTTCCTCAGCATTACAATTGAATTGTGTCCCTCTAAAATATGTTAGGAGCTCTGATAGCATAGTGCCTAAGGCACTTGACTGCTAACCAGAAGGCTGGCAGTTCAAACCCACCAGCCACTCCTTGGAAGGAAGGTTG